GTAGTTATTGTTCATTTATTGTTTTCCAGTTTAACTGCTAAATATATTGTGATAATGATGAGATCAGGAAGTGGTACCCGTTTTTATCAACTGTTTGTTGACAAATTTAGACAAATCAGAATTTGACAAGTTTAAAGGCGTTACCAAAATACCTCAGAAGATCCCTCCTTCTGTCAGAGGTCATTTCTTAGTGTGAAGTGAAAATGTTAAACAGATTATGTGAAGCACAAATGTTTTAACATTAATAATATTATGAAGTCTGAATTTAATGATAGATTTAACACTAAAATCAACAAATACTAATCTGGTGTAATTTAAGATCTGAAATGAATCATTACAGGAAAAATATTCATTTTAACTCACAATGTAAAGTACAGGACACATTATTCAAACACTTTGGATTTAAACAAAGAGTTCATTCAACAAAATATGATTATATAAAGTTTTAAAGTCATTTATTTCAGGGCAGATGGACTTTATTCAGAGCCTTATGCAGCCTTGGGGACTCATGATGTATGCAGGACTTGTTAAGAATATTGGCTCAAGTTCATCTCTTCATATGGCACCACGGTGTCAGATTGACCTGCAAGTTAAAAGTTAACTTCTGGTCATTTTGATGAAATACTTGGCCTTTTGGTATACTCCACTGTTTACCATTGGCTTATATAGCTCTAGCTTGAATGCTAACTCGGCCTCTAAAGTCCATCTGTAAAATAAGCTAACTGGAAGAGGATAGTACAATTAAAGGGGATTTCATCATTTGTGTATTTGAGCTAATGATTAGTGCATGCTTTAACGTCACATCATAATAGACCATTGTTTAAAATTTGTTGTAAAATGTTATGTTGTTAGCAGGTTAGCGAGGTTGTTGAATTATTTCTGTTTTAGATGTTTCCCTGTTTAAAGTCTACAGATTTGATTAAAATAAGGGATTAGCAGCTCCTGCAGAATCTGATGAAGGCTGAGGAGATGTATGTGTAAAATAAGAAAGGGATATTTAATGTTGGAGTGTCTAAGTATAATTTGTTTGTCTAGCCTGCTATTTTTTGGTTTAATTTGGGCTTTTAACATTGTACATTCAAGTAAAAAAATATATGTGTGTGTGTGTGTGTGTGTGTGTGTGTGTGTGTGTGTGTGTGTGTGTGTGTGTGTGTGTGTGTGTGTGTGTGTGTTGTCCATAAAACGAAGAGTTTCAACTGGATAAAACCTAAACAGTATTGGTTGTTTTGTAACCCAGCACCAAACACACTAAAGTAACCAGTAAACCTCTGGAACCAACCAGGGTTATAGGAGGACTACACAGAATGTGGCATTTACTCATTATGTGTCTGAATAAATCCCATACCATGATGAACATTCATCCCTTCTTGAATGACATATCAGTAAATAATGTAAACTATTACATGGAGCTAATGCTAAGATAGGCTAATAATAGGTTAACGGATACTGCCAACAACATTCAACATGCTAATTTGATGGTAGTGGGTTTCTTTATAATATGTCAACTGTTGTAGTCTTTATAAAATATACATTTATAGATATTATTTGTAAAATGCCTTTTGTTAGCAGTAAATAGCTAAAGTTATGGTTGATAGCAGCATTCTTACCTTTGGAAACTTCATTGCTAATGCTAGCTCAGCTCTGGGTCAAAGTAGTGATCCTCCCTCTGTTGACTTGGCTTTCGCTGCATGTGCAAGTTAGAAGGTGTGGCTTTCGGCTCTTTCAAAATACCCTTCTCTTCTGCTTCATGAGGTAAAGTTATGGACCCTAGCTTTTATACTAGAGACCACTGCAGATATGTTGAGAAAATTAGTCAACTTGGTCTTTAACGCTTAATACAAACTAACCAGAGAAGTCCATGTAAATAATCGTGCAATGCAAAATTTACTATCTAAAGTTTTAAAAAATAATATTGCATTGATCTCTTAAAAATTCTGGAGATGAGAGCCAATTTCTGACTGCTGGAACACAGTCTAGTCCTGCTTGCTTTTGAACATGACATTTCTTCCAATAGAGGCCCTTTGTGATGCCAGTTACAACAAGTCATAGTATTTATTTAACTTTTACATAGAAACACTTCAAAATGAAGGACAAATACATTTAAATTAACAGAGGCTCAAATTAGAAATTAGAGCATAAAGTTAGAGATAAAATCAACATTTTAAACAGAAACTTGATTTGTTTTTTTCTAATTTTAGATGTATGTTGTAGAGGTGCTGAAAAAAATCGATTCAAGTCTGAATCGGGGTTCTTATTTATAAAGATTCAGAATCGATTCCAAGAACTCAAATATTTGGCACGTTACAGGTTTAAGATGCACTTTTGTCTGTTTTTTGGGTCTTTGTTAGGAGAGTCAGTACTCCGTTTACTTTTGCGGTCCCATAAACTGAGATGATTTATGTTTGAATCTGCTGATAAGTGGGCACTTGAATGTTATTTTTTCCATACTCAGAAATTTGAGATATTCTCATATTTATTTTCTAAGTTGATAAATGAGTACTCAGGATTACTCATGTAACTTGTTTCTACACATACTTGAAAAGTATTTGACTGTTTTACTATCAAAGCTACTGTTAGGTAACTACAGATTGGTTATATTTTACAAGATAAGCAAAAATAAATGTTGCCTTTTGGTCAAAAGATTGTTTCTGTTTACAGTTTTAGAATCACTTTATTTTACCTTGTAAATTTGCATTTTTGGAGCACGACCAGTTTAAAGTCAAATAAAAACGTCCCATAGCTTTAACTAACTTGTACAACAAAGTAGTTCATCCTGGAGCTGACACTCTTTGTTAATACCGATTGTGAATCGATTTAAATTGAGAATCGAGAATGGATTCTGAATCGAATCGGCACCCCAAGAATCGGAATCGAATCAAATCGTGAGTTGCTCTAAGATTCACATCCCTAGTCTGTAGTAAATCATTTCATAAAGGAGAATTGTGCAAATATGAGTGTAAACATATTAGCATCAAAGGATTATGTCACAGTTACTAAAAGTGTTGCATGCCACAGATATTAAATGTGAAAGTTGGCATTTCTCTCTCCAAGACTGCAAAGCTGTGGTTGGCAGGGCAATTCACACACTAATCAGTTGCTGTAGGGCACAGGGGACCTGCACAGAATTGTTCCTGTTTATAACAACATAGGCACCAGCAGATGGAAGTACAACAGCACACACACACACACACACACACACACACACACACACACACACACACTGACCTCGCGTACACAAAGACAGAAGACAAGAATGATAGAGTAAAAGTGAATGTGTGGAGGGACATGTTGGAACAATGCAGAGCTACAAAGGCTTGAATTACACAACAGAGTACTTTCACCATTAAACATATGCTTGTGCCCAGACATAACACACAGACAAGTGTAAACAAATACCATTTCAACCTTCCAAGAGAAAAAAAGGCACTCTTCAACCCGTCGGGTGTTCAGACTGGACATGTTGCCTTTGATAAGATGACACCTACTAATCTGCAGAGTCCTAATCTCAACATGAATGTGATCCATATAGACTAAATCAACCTGAACCACATTTAGCTAGACTCAGTTACTCAGAACACTATAATCAGGTTTCCAATTTTGTTACAATCATAAGAAACTGAAAACAAAAATGGGTTCTCCGGTGTTGTTGTTGGTGTGACAAACAGACCACAGCGACCAACTGTTTGGTCAAGACACATCCAAACACAATGAGCAGGAAGGGGGAGTAAAATGAAAAAAATCAAAAACTCACAAAATGTCACAGCAAACTGATTATCAAGACCTCGAAATCAAGGGCAGTGCTAAGAGATGAAACAGCTGTTAACCACTTCTCAAACTTTGGTGACAGTATAACTTTTGTGGTCTTGTACTCTAAGTGCTTGTGTGTACCTCAGAGTAGCAGTACATGATCCCAATCTAACGGCCAGACACTGAACAAAAGGAGGAGACATCAGATAACAAATGTCTGCTAGCCTGTCGGGCCTTGGCATGGCTGCAGAGCTCATTGTGCCTCATCTTCCCAGATCACAGCTACCAGCCAAATGACAGATGGGTGTTCGATTTCAGTGGTGGGAAAAATAAAGAAAACCCAGGAAACAAGATCACATGACTCTTGCCCAAGGCACTGTCCCCAATGAAGGCTCTAAATATTGGGCTCAGAAAATTAGATCACTCTTGACCTGTGTGGTTCCAAATACATGTGGGTGAGAGGAAGTCCTGAGCCCCCTTCAGACAGGCCATGAAAAACGGAAATGTTCCGGAATCTGTCCGTAAGACCTTTCTGTCTGAATGCAAACATCCGAATAACGTGTTCCGGAATTTATCCGGACGAAGCCCCTAGTAACAGGTCCGGACTTGTTACGGACAGGGTGGCTGATTCAGACCGGTGAGGTAAAGTTCCGGACAAGAGGGAGGGGGAGGAGGAGGGGACCGGGGGACGCTGTGCGCACCTATATAGCCCGCTGCTGTAGCATGCGGCGAACCACGGCAGCTCGCCTCCTACGGTAGACGCGCGACGGAGCGCTTCACACCGCTTCAGTGATTCCTTTAACCATTGAGCTTCATCATCCAGGTCTCTTATGCGTCTTCGTGTGCGCAGAATTATGCTTAAGCGCCTCGTGATTTTTATCTTGAGAGGCGCTATAGAAATGATATTTTCTTCTTCTTCTTCTTAACATGAGTCCGACCCCCCCCCCCCCCCCCCCCCGCCGCCGTCAGACATCTGGAACTTTTCCCTGCTGTGTGAACGCAGCCGAAAGGACAAGTTCCGGTACAAAAGTGGTGTGTCTGAAAACACAGTTCCGGTTAAAAACCGGATTGAATTGTCCGCAAATGTTCCAGAATGTCTGTCTGAAAAGGGCACTGGAGTCTTACAGAGGAAAAGTCAAGGGGATGCTTAATTCTAAAATACATAAATTAGGCTTTAATGAAAAAAATCTTTGGGTCATGAAATCAAAAGATGATTATGTGAGACCCGTGTTCCCTGCTGTGTGTGGCCTTACCTGATTGTTTTCTTTGTGCTGGGACAACGTTCCCGGGATGTTGAGTGAGTGACTCCTAGTGACAGGCACTCCAGTTGATGCTCTCCTTTGCTGTGAGCGAACAGTTTGTGAAAAGTTCCCATCCAGAGGAGGACTGCTGCTACTGTTGTTCCCTTCTGTTTCGAGCACTGCGTCCCAAGGATCCCCAGCAGAAACTCCTGGTTCTGTTTGTGCAGCTCCTCCAGGTGTAAGGGACACATCCTCGTTCTCAGCTTTGGGTTTTGTAAGTGGGTCCAGATCCAGCCAGTCGAAGCGGCTGATGTGAGATGACTCCATCACTGATGGCTGTTGGGATGGGGGGTTGGGTGCCAGAGAGACTGCGTCTACTTGAGAAGAATCTGGATCAGCACTGGCTGATCTCCCATTTTTCAAGTATTCTGAAGTGCTGGCAATCTTGTCGAACAGTTTGGCCATCTCTGGGTCTACGGTTGGCTGCGGGAAGACCAGCGCAGCAGCCGGCTGGATGGCTGGTAAAGTCATGAACGATGGCTGCTGTGGAGGTAGACCCATGAAGGGTGGAGTGAACCCATTTTGAAATGAGCCTGGTTTGGGAAAAGGAGCAGATGGAAACAATGGACTGGGCTGATGGGTCGGAGTGGATACACTGGAACTAGATGGAGCAGGAAGAACAGACGTCCAATGGCTGCTTGGAAAAAGAGAGGAGCCGCATGCATGGCCTCCTGGGTAGGAGGCACTGAGGTTAAACCCGAGCAGCGATGAAGGGCGAGTCACTTTGCTGTTAACGCTAAAGTTTTCATCAAGCAGAAGCTTTTCAAGCTCCTCAATGGTCAGTTTATCTACATCAATATCCTTAAACTTGTTCTGCTCTGCTTGTTTCTTGGTTTCCGGAAAGACAATAAGATCTTTGTCAGGTTTACTCAGAGAAGGTGAAGGCTGAGGAGTAGTAGTAGCAGGTTTAGACGGTTTTGAGTAAGATGAGGGTGTTGAAACTGAAAGAGTGTGTCTTTTCTCCCTCTGCAGTTTTGCTAAAGCCTCTTCTTCCATACGAAGGGCCTCCTCTTTTCCCACGACCCCCTTTGGCTGGGGGACATCCAGCTTGAACCCATTACCACTCTGAGTCTGGGCCATTCTGTCAAGTTGAAGGAGCCATGAGTAGGATGACTTTAAGTCAGCGCTGACCAAAGTGTTGAGAAGCAAACAACTAAACACCTATAAATAAAATAAACATTATTATTAACTTGAAATGATCAAGTGAAAGCAAGATAGATAGAATAACGTTATTCTACATATTGAGCCTCAGCAGCAGTTCTTTAATTTAAAAAAATTCCTGGTTTTATTGCTCCAAGCAGTTTGATCACTTATTGATCCGCTGCCATACATCAAATACGCCGCACAAGAAACTGATTGTGCTTGCTGGAAAATCAGGAGCATCGTGTGGGTCGGATTACTAGCTCTAGCAACATGAACAGTAGGTCTTCAGCTTGGTTTTACACAGAACACATGAAGCTTGGTAAAGCAGGAACCCAGAATGCCAAAACAATAACATAAGGATGTACGTACTAGACTCTGAACAACCAGAAATTAAGCTCATTTGTGAATCAGCGCGTTATGGTGCAGGACACAAACTCCAGGGTATCTGCAGGTTTAAGGGCACCAAATTTGAGACTTTTTAAGACATTTTTAAGGCCACTTTGACCAAATGTAAGCTATTTTTTTAATTAAATTTAAGCTTTAATTTCCAGCTATTGCCTGGAACCAGTGCTAATCACATCGTGAACATGGGATTAGCCATCCAGTTACCATTAATGTTGCACTTCCCCATGGCGCAAACTCCCACTAGCATGCTCATCTAAAAATAGCCCTCTTTCACAACCAACCGAATGTGTACAGTTCCGCTTATGCCAATATCGTACACAAAAAATGCTGAACTAACTAGGAATTCACGAACATTTTATAGAAATAAAAGAATCTTGTTTATTGGGTCTTTGGTAATTTAAGACCTTTGGAAACTATTTAAGGATTATTTGTAATTTTTTAAGGATTTTTAAGGCCTTACATTTGGAAAAGCAAATTTAAGACTTTTTAAGGACCTGCAGATACCCTGAAACTCACGTCTTCATCTGATATTTGTTTTATCCAGTATTCAGTAAAGCACTTCCATTACAAACAGCAGGAAGGTTGACACATCTGATCGATATTAAATTAAGACGTGTCGAAGACGACTAGAACATTTTATTGATTCAGAACAACATTGCTGTTTTACGATTCTAGAATGACACAGCGCCTTGTCAAAGCAACCATTCATGGAACAATCACAGCCCAGGGGTTGAGTGAGTTCCTTCTCTCCCCAGGCATCACGGGCCTCTCCTGAGTATCCCCTCCCATTGTGGTGAAGACGACTGGCTCTGCTGGGGCTTAAGCTACCCCAACACTATTGTGCAGCTGAGGAATTTGGCATGCTGAACAGTCCAGCGGGTCCCTTCTTTCTTCCCCTGGTTTTCTTTGCCTCCCCCTCTGTTAAGAGTTACGTTAGCAACATGTCCCGGGACTATCTGATCAGCTGTGCGAAAGCCAGCAACAATGACAATGTAGCTGGAGTTACTAAGTATTAAGACCTGGTTAAGTCGTCTTCACCAAAATGAACGGATGTGAAAGGTGAAATGGATGGTGTAGGTCTCTGCAGAAACATCTTTTCCTTTGACAATGAGAAAGCATACTCCGTGTACAAATTAAAATGTGTAGATTTTTACCAATGGTGACATCCTTTAATCACTAGTCCAGAAATTCTTGAGCACAGACAGAATTGGCATGGTTTTGCCAAATAAAACAAAAACCACCCAACTTCTCTGAAGTTACACTGAAACACCAAATCTTTGTAGACGTACGGAAGGAAGAAAGAGAAACAGAGCACATCAGTTTAGAGCAGTGAGCTTCACTGTCCAGCATGTTTTAGTTGCTTCCCTGCTTCAACAGGCTTGATCCAGTGGTCGAATTGCATGTTCAAAATTTCATCAAGCTCTGTAGCAGCCTATTAATCCCCTACTAATTTAAATCAGGTGTGGTGAGAAACCACTAAAATATGCAGGATGGTGTCCCTCAAGGAATAGGATTGGGCCACATTTGTTTAGCTGGATAACTTAAATTACATCCAAATTTAATAATGGTTTCTTTCAATTTATTTACTTATCCACCAGCATGCTGTCATGATTTAAAACAGTGCTAAGATGGTGTGATCTTGTTGTACCTTTCATGGTGCAGACCTTGGTCAAATGTAAAAGATTTGTGTCCCATAGCAGATCAGAAGTGCAGATGTAAGCAATACATTGTTTATCAGCTCAAAGTACAGCTCACACACTTTAAAAATAGAAAATATGTAACCAAGTCCTAACAGTATTTACAGATTTGTAAGGCTTATGTAATGGTTCTCTGTAAGTGGCAACACAGTAGAGAAGATCAGCAAACAATGTACACTCAGCCTGGTGTAAAAACTGTTTTTAGTCAAACACAAACCTATGCAGGTTTTAAAATCCATACTCAGCCTTTTGTTTTAATTAAAACAGACTGAACAATAAAAATAGCTACCACAAAAGTCCATCTTATCAAGTTTGTGTTAAATACTTAAGACCAATTAAACACATTTTATGTTTTATAACGAATATAATCAGAAGTTAGCGTTGAATATTAATCCCTTAATCTTTTATAGGTTGAGATATCTAGCTAAATCTTCTCCCCTGACACCACACCGACTGATGTCAGGTTGTCAATAACCTTTGTTCACATTAATGGTATCTAAAAACAACATTCACAATCATGTAAACATAACAATAGTCTAAAAACGGAAACTAGAATTTTATTTTTTATGATTGCCAAGTTAGCTCCTTCAAGTGGCATTTTTGCTACTTTTAGCCGCTTTATTGTAACTTTAACATTAGACTTTGTTTCATGCTAACGTAGCTCCTAAACTTAAAACTTACTCGGACAGTTGGCAAACATCCTGCTCCAGAAATCCGACTGAATCTAGCTAAACTAGGCTGACTTGTACGACTGCTCGCTGCTTTAAGAAACACTAGTTTAATAATTTAAAAGTACTGAGGCAACTGCTTGAGTTGCTTTGGACCTATCAACTAACCACAACAAGGAAGAAAGAAGGCTTTCTCAAAGCGGAAACACTTACAGTAGAGAAAAACTGCTAAAGCTAACCCTAAGTAGCAACAAAAGGAAACTTTTACACTCAGACAAACGCTTTATAATGATCTGTTTCTCACCTTTTAACGGTGCGGTGTTTGGAGCCATTTTTCCGGCAGCTGCATTTTTCCTTCCACTTGCACAGAGGAGAGACGTCAGTTCCTGTTGAGCGAACGCAGTTGGATAGCAGCGTTTCTGCTGTCCCGTGATCAAACAGCGCCCTCACGTGGTCTAACCCTGCTAGTGTCTAAATTAAATTAAATTAAATTAAATTAAATTAAATTAAATTAAATTAAATTAAATTAAATTAAATTAAATTAAATTATGTGGCTAATCTTTATTTTAAAAAATAATAACTGGAGCTATGGTATGTTCATGTTCTCATGCTACTAGTGTGTGTTTACACAGTGAATACTATGTGTGCAGTTTTGTGCAAAGTACTCAGCTAGTTTAAAACATGTTGTATTCATACTGTTTTTCCCCCACAAATTTTCATCCAGAGAAATGCTTCTTTGTTCCTTAAACTACAAAGAAGCAGAGTATGAAGTAGAGTTTATCAAAACATAACTGATCATTTATCATGTTATTGTGAAAAATGCTTAAGACATCACTGTTTGACACTTTCAAGAATATTCTAATGCAAGTAGGGTGAATTTCAAAATGTATAACACTGATTTATTGAAGGATGATCTCACCCCCCCCCCCCCCCCCCCACACACACACACACACACACACACACTGCTCATCTATTGGAACTTCTTTTTGAACCTGCACCTTTCTTTGTTCTCCAACTCCCAAAGTTAAAATGTGAGGAATGGACAAAAGGCATAAAGTCTGAAGATCCTTCAGAAAACGTGAAATATAAATCATTTCAACATTATACTTCAAAGCCTGGCTTTGTGAAAGAGAGGAAGACACTTTGAAGTGACTTGAAGATGACATATTATGCAAAGGTCAACTTTTGCATTCTTTTGTGCTGTCATGTGGGTCTCTACTAGCTCTATTATTCCCCCAAACATGAAAAAATGTCCATCAAGTTTTATATCAGTGTTTAGTTTTAGGAATTATTTGCACAAAACAAGCCGTTTTAAAAAGTCCCAGTTTGTGACATTACAAATGGAGAAGTTGCAATATAAACACTTCTCACATGCAAGAGAGAGCTGATGCTGCAGTGGCTCTACTCCAAGCCCCTCCCAGATATCTCAGCTTATAGCCGCAAATCAATCAATCAGTCAGAATTTATTTATAAAGCGCTTTTCAAGCAAAGTGTGACTCAAAGTGCTTTTCAGAATTAAAATGACCCCAAATTCTCATAACAGTTTGAAAACATTAACACACACACACACACACACACACACACACACACACACACACACACACACTCACACACACATCAGTAAAAATTTATATTTGGCTGAGTCCAGATGAGCCAAGTAAGATAAGGCAAGGAAACGCCATCAGAGGAGCCGTCTGTCCCGGTAGCATCAGGTCTTCCACAGCAACTAAGTAAGGATGCTCACAGGTCGGGGAGCATAGACCCCCACCTCTACTTAAACACTACCTATAGAGCGCCCAGGAAGCAACAGTCGACCACGGCCCCTGGGGCAGAGGGCCCCTACAGAGGAAACACTGGATTAAAATGAGTAAAAATATAATAAAAGAGCTAATATAAATGACAAAAGTAAGAAAATGAATATTAAATAAAATCGTATGGACAGTAAAATAATAATATAATTTAATGATGAAACTGTGCTAAAATATAATCATGTAAAACATGCAAAGCAAGTAATAAAATATAATAATGTAAATCGAGAAATAAAACTATAATAAATAATTAGATAAAAGCTAACCTAAATAGGTGGGCCTTGAGCCTAGACTTAAAAACATGAACGTTCTCTGAGGCCCTGGCAGCTTGTTCCAGAGGTGAGGGCCGTAATACTGGAAAGACGCATGAGTGTGTGTCCTGACTTTAGGGATGACCAGGAGACGCCTGCCAGAGGAGCGCAGAGGCCGTGAGGGTTTACACGGTAAAAGCAGTTCTGAGAGATAAGAAGGCCCAAGACCATTAAGACACTTAAAAACCATTAAAATAACCTTGAAATTGATCCTGAAACATACAGAGAGCCATGATTGCAATGATTCTAAAACTGGTGTAATGTGCTCCCGCCTCCTGGTCTTCATCAGGACACGTGCTGCCAAATTTTGTAGAATTTGTAAGCCTGAGATGCTCTTTTTGGGAAGAGCAGAAAGCAGGGCATTACAGTAGTCTATCCTACTGGTGATAAAAGCATGCATCAGCATCTCCGTATTGGCCCGAGGGAGAATAGGGCGGACTCTGGCGATGTTCTTTAGATGATAAAAACCTATTTTTGTGATATTTTTTATGTGTGGAATAAAAGTCAGCTCAGAGTCAAAAATCACACCCAGGTTCTTCACTTGTTCAGATGGATTAAAAGACAGAGAATGTATATTCGGTAAAAGCTTCTCTCTCTGGGCCTCAGGACCAATGACTAAAACTTCAGTTTTGTCCTGGTTGAGCTGGAGAAAGTTCTCAGCCATCCAGGATTTGATGTCTAAAATGCAGTTAAAAAATGCGTTCACTGGCCGAGAGTCATCAGGAGACACGGAGATGTACAACTGTGTATCATCAGCATAACTGTGAAAATTGACTCCATGTCTCCTATAGACACTGCCAAGAGGGAGCTTATAAAAGTTAAAAAGCACTGGGCCTAAAATTGAACCCTGGGGCATACCACATGTAATCCAATGGACCCTCGAGGAACAGGTATCTAAACTCACCATAAAAGTCCTGTCAGGGAGGTAGGATGTGAACCATCTGTGGACAGCACCAGAGAGGTCGATCTGTTTTAAACGGGTTAAAAGAATAGTGTGGTCTGCTGTTTCAAAGGCAGCGCTTAGATCCAGTAGAACGAACACATCACCTTCCGTTTATCATATTTAAATCTAAAATCATTTAAAATCTTCAGAAGGGCCGTCTCGGTGCTGTGGTTCACCCTAAAACCAGACTGAAATGTCTCTAGGACATTATGAGTGTTTATAAAATCATTTAGTTGATTTAAAACCAACTTTTCTGAAATTTTGCTTTAAAATGGTAAGTTAGATACCAGTCGATAATTGTTTAAATTATTACGATCTAAATGTTCATCTTCAACAGGGGCCTCACCACCACCCTTTTAAAGGCAGCAGGTAAGACCCCCGTCTGAAGGGAGCAATTCATCAGGGTTAAAATCTCATCACTAAAAGATCCATAGAGTTGTTTAAAAAGCGAAGTTGGAATTGGGTCCAGAATACATGTGGAGGGTCTCACTGAGGAGAAAACTTTATCAAGAGTCTCAGCTTCTACCATGACAAAACTGTCCAGTGTTTCCTCTGGTATAGACAAACATTCAGATTTATCTAAAACCTTATTGCTTAGGGAGGATAAAATATTCCTTCTGATGGTGTTCCCTCTGAAGTGGGCTGCAAACTCCTCACAGAGAGCATTTGAGGGGGTTTTCTGAAGTGAATTGGATATTCGGTTTAATCAGGAGAGAGGCGGATAAGTAATGGAACCCTGAATCGGCTCATTTCAGAAGGTTAGCCACCAGAAAGGTGACATCCCTACGGAGAGCTGAGGATCAGACTCACATAGAATAAAAATGCAGAAATTGCTTTATATAAAAGGGTTTTTGTGCAAAAACTTGTTTTGTATCCACCATAGAAATATTTAAACTTAATTAAAATACATAATAAAACATTTGCACAGCCCTGAAAACAAGCATGTTCTCTATTTTGTGCTTCACATGAATCTTTGATAAATGAAAGGATAATGTTTCACCACTACATCCATTCACCTTATTTTTTTTTCTAATTCTGATTTCTAATGTCTCCATCTGATTGTGTCATTTTTACATATGAAAACTTTAAGTGCAGGTGCACGCTACGCCAAAACTGATGAGATTGCTTTACCTACAAAACGCAACATATTTATCTAAATGACTTCCGCCCGCAGTGTAAACACCACTGAGACCTGCACGAAGGTGTTTTAATCTCTAAATTATGTGATGTTTTGCGGACAACCAGGATCCCGCCCTCGTCTGGCGTATCTGAACGCCACGTACGGTTCGTTTAAACTCAGTTTAAGCCACCGATGACTTCGACACCTTTTGAGTGACAGGTTCACCGTCCAATCAGCGTGCAACGCGACTGTTTTATGAAAGAACGTGCCTTTCCACCGTCCAATGAGAGCTGCTAGAGGCGGGTCGTTGCCATGGTAAATACGCATTTTTCCTCCTTAGTGTTGTATTAGTGGTGGACGGATGACGGCTGGAAATAAGCTCCGCTGAGTGTCAGGTACTTGGAACAACTGTGGAAGCTCGTGGAGGAATATCAAGGAAGCTACAGTAAGCATCAAATTACAAGTAAAATCATCTTTAACTTGATGTGATTTATTCGTTTTCCGTGTTGCTAGTTTGTTTTTTACATTATTGAGTTAGCTACCATCAACAGTACATCACCGTCTCCCAGCAAGCAACCTGCTCAGTTAGCCTGTTTGTTATTGTGGCTCTCTGAGGCTCTAACAGGTTTAAATTAGACTTGTGTTTTTAATAAAAAAAACATGTGTTTCTTCATGCTTTTCTTGTGCTGTAGCTTGCTTGGGGGATTATAGGACTAAATAACAAAATACTCCATCCCCCAAACCAGATTTTTTTCCCTCCAGTTTGGTGAAGATTGGGAAATTAAGGGTGTAGTCCTCTGTAAGGATAATGTACCTTACTCATACTGTTGCGTCTCCAGACTTCATGCAGTCGTCACGTAAACAGTGACTAACTAAATCAATAATAACCATGCCATATGGCTGTTTGCTGTCCATTTCTGCTCAGATGGTGAGGAGAACAGCCTTGGCCCACTGTGGGCTGGTCCTACTGGGTTTGTGGTTGTGTGTCCACTCAGTTCCTATCAGTGTGGAGAAGGCCCAAGGGGAGCCTCAGGTGGACAAACTGGACCCACCAGCGAGCACTGTGAGTCAGAAGAGTGTTGTCACATTCAGGGGGAATTGTTTTTCACAGAGGCGGAGCTAGGTTTTATCTTAGTCTGGGGCCACTGCATTTATCAGCCGAGCGTTAGTCCCACACTTTCACAAGACTTCACACTGGCAATTTCTGTTTGGCTCATCACTACCACTAGTGTTTGGATTTTGACTTGCATCCTTCTATATTCTGATCATTGTGCAAAGGACAGATGAGTGACAGGACAGGGCACTTCAGGAGGCCAATCAGATTCAGCAGCCGTGGCTTCACCCCTAGAACTACCAGCATTTTTTTTTCAGTAATGAGTTTGAAAGAAAACCAAAATGTGTGACTTTACAGCATTTACAGTTACACATTAACTGTGTGTGTGTGTGTGTGTGTGTGTGTGTGTGTGTGTGTGTGTGTGTGTGTGTGTGTGTGTGTGTGTTTAAATTGTTGATGGAAAAACAAACAAAACGGTATCCGTTTTAGTGTTCATTACTTAGTGCTGGGTGATCAAGCAGCTGTTTGTATTGTTAGTCACACAGTGAATACTTTTTTCTCTCAGGACACCGGGCTGCACTATGACCGTTACCTCAGGGAAGTCATCGAATACCTTGAGAAAGACCCGCACTTTAGAGAAAAGCTGCAAAATGCCAGTATTGAGGACATCAAGGTACATGCTCACTGTTGAAACGTCTAATTTGTCATTTATTTTTTACAAGCACTTTTGATTGAACTGTGCTCCACTGACTCTTGGCTCACAGCAAGGCAAACTTGCCAAAGAGCTGGACTTTGTCCATCGCAATTTTCGAACTAAGCTGGACGAGTTGAAGAGGGAGGAGATGAACCGGCTGAGGATGCTTATTAAAGCCAAACATGACCTCCAGGACAGGAATGGTGAGTGTAGGATGTACGTGGCTAATCTGGGGTTCCTGAACACAGCATGTTCTGTCATACGAGTCCGATCTTGTTGGACTGTCATTATAGGTGACTTTCAGTGATAGTCACTGTTTGGTAAATGCATTCATTTATGAACTGCTTAATGGATGACTTTACCTACTTGGGCTTGCACATGACCTCTGACCTTATTTAAACACAGCCAACATGGATTTTTTAATGAAACAGCTGACAAATGCTGGCCTCAGTTCTGCTTTTCTTTTTACTGGTGTGTGGTGGCGAGCATCCTGGCATCGGTATAATATTCTGGTCTGAAGCTGACGAGGAAATGTTCACCTTCTGATTCAGAACCAGAACAAAGAATACAACGAGAGACTCCACCCATGTGGAGCCTCAAGGCTGAGCAGCATCTTCTTCCCTGAGGCTGTGAGGCTCATGTAATTTAACCCTTGCACCATTCTCTACATTTTGTTGCAATATTAGGTGTTTATCACTGACTTTAGGTCATTATTTTATTTTATTTCATCTTAGACTCATCTTTATTTTTATATGTTGGCATATAGTAAAAGTGAATTATTCTGAATCAAAATTTATGCAATGGATCCAAACCAGATCATGACTCAACCTGAAAATAGTTCTTTAGTTTTTCATAGTAAATGCTTTATTTTTTTTATTTAACCAGGCAAACAAGTAAAAATGTACTTCCTCTGGTTGTGTATCATTCAAACCTCGAGGAAACAAAACAAACGCTTGAAATCCCAATATAAGAATTTCAAGGATTTTTAAAGCAGAAATCCAGAGATTTATTTCAGAGGGCATTGCACCTTGATGTGACTGTGTGTATTTCTCCTGGCGATCGGGGGCAGTAGATACCTAAATCGTTGCAAGCAAACCATATTTTTGTGTTGGAGTAAGACTTTACCAACGGATGCACATTAGGGTCAAAAAGGCCCAGGAAGTGAAAACTTCAGCAAAATCACAAGCACATCAGACTGCTTTTCATCACTGGCAATGAGTGAAGAGGTAAATGTGTAAAACAATAACGTTTATTAATGGTGAAAAATTTTTAACCATTTGTTACAAATCAGTAAATATGTTTTGTCCTCCCATAGAAGGAAACATGGCGTCTAATATGGTGCCGCCTAGACACTTATGGGCCATTCCCATCTGTACCGGGTCGGCCCGGGCCGGGTAGCGGAGGTTGTTTACATATCTGGGTGGCCTGGTATTTTTCCGGGCCAACCAAGGCTCATTCTCGGCCCTCTTCCCGAGGGGTACTGCTTCAGGCCGACCAGGGCCAACACGCCCACTGCTGACAGCAAATTCACACCTTCCATTAGAGCAAGCCTCTGATTGGTGGGTAGAATCAGCCCATTCACACCTTCCATTAGAGCAAGCCTCTGATTGGTGGGTAGAATCAGCCCACATGGGCTTAAGACAAGGATGTGTGGAATCCACCGGGCCAGGCTGGGGCCGACTGGGGCTACCCGGCCCGGGCCGACCCGGTACAGATGGGAATGGCCCATTTGACCAGGGCTATTCAAGTCCGGGCCTCGAGGGCCGGTATCCAGCACATTTTAGTGGTTTCTCTCGTCCAACACACTTGATTCAGTGATTGAGTCACCTGTGCAGCAGCTCATCAGGCTCTGCAGAAGCCTGTTAATCAACTGCTGATTGGAATCAAATGTGCTGAAGCAGGATTAAAACTAAAAGGTGCTGGATACCAGCCCTCAAGGCCTGGAACTGAGTAGCACTGACTTAGACCCACTCCCATGTATTTTAGACCAGATTTTTATGGTTATATGTTACAAAGCCACCAGTATTTTTCAAAAACTGGGCATCATTGAATTAATTTTCAACAACATTTTGATAGATGTTTCCAGAGATTAACGATAAAAACTACACATTGCTTGTGAACGTGCACCTCTGTTCACCAACAGAGCTTAAACACATTGTGTTACAATTATTAATCTCACCTTATGCTGTTAATTCTTATATATGATTTAAATATGTATTTGTCCATAAGAAAGGTCGCCAACTCTGCATCAGTCTATTTTTCTATAAACTGGCGCTCCTGCTCTGAGATTGACGTCTGTACACAAGTAGATTGGCTAATGCTGAGCAGTGTCCAATTCAAATTACATGAAGCAACGTATTTCCACCGTTGTAACACAGTGGGGGAAACCCTAGACTGCTGCTTTAACTCAGTATTCAACCATAATGACATTTTCCTGAGGCATTCAATGACAGTTTCACTAAATGCTGCTTAGATAAACCTGAGTCTGGTATCTAGAGCAGTTCACTCAACCTAACTGTGTCACATCTGATAAAGTTATTTTTATCTCTTCTGCAGGCCGTGCCATGGACCGCCAGGCCCTGCTGAAACAGTTTGAGCATCTCAACCATGTGAACCCACACACCTTTGAGGTGGAGGATCTGGACCGCCTCATCCAGTCGGTACATGACCACATATTACAGCCTCTGTAGAGCTGGCCTGTTGGTTCTTTTTGTGTGGTATTGTAACTCGAATATCCCCACTCTGGAGTCATAGCTGTGATCACAGTAGATGACACAAATATGTATTATGGTTATAATTACAGCTGTTGTCTACATTGAGACTTTTTAGACTTGCAAACCAAATTAGTTAGCTACTTTTACATTTTTTAAATTTATTTTTCATGTTGTAACTTGGAGTAATTTGTGAGCTGGCAGGCTGAGCAGAAGTAAAGTTATGAGTTGTTCAGGTGTGTCATGTTTCCTGTGAACCGAGCATAAAGGGAAGTGTGTTCACTGGGTTTACAGCAGACTACCTGAACATTCTTAGCCTGAGTCTGAGAACAGTTTAACAATGTTTACGTGTTCAACTGGTAGTTGAAATGTTGAATGCTCGTATTAAATATGTGTCTGTTTGATTTGATTAAGGTTGTAACGTCGTTTTACCTTCAGATAACCAGGCTGAGTGTTTGATAAGAGCTGTAGCGTTAGACCAGAACAGAGCCCTGCTGACAACAGCTCTGCACCAGATGATGAACCATTTGTTTCCACCTTCATACAACACTTTTGGTTTACATGAACAGAAATGGAACGGCTTGGAGAATGTCAGCTTCCTAAATATTTTCACATTATGAAAGTGTATGTTATAACCATCAAAATAAACACTTCTAGTTCATTTCTACCTACTGCCGTATTCCACAGCTTTACTCTCATTACTCTATTCACACCAGACACCAGAGTTAGGCTGCTACTGCAAGCAGCTTCAGCACGCACGCACGCACGCACGCACACACACACACAGCAGCAGCTTAGACATCCTGTTTTTTGCCTGAGTCACATCTTCCTCTTAACGGTTAATATTACAAAAAGAAGAGCTCAGACATCACCATTTGAAAGTCAGTTACTACTCAGCTTTACAAAGTCAAACAAATGTTTCTTTCTTTGTCAACGGTGTCACAGTATACTGTGTAAACTGCCCACATGTGTCCTAGGAGCATTCTATTGTTGCAGTAATTATAAAATAAAATAATAAGCATTTAACCTTTTATAACAGTTTGAGAATTTTGCACTTTTGAAATAAAACTCAAGAAATGTCCCAATGAGTCGGTTTCACATCTGTCCAATCCAGAAGTCCAATGCATTTTTCTCATGTTCATAGGCAACTAAAGATCTGGAAAACTTTGACAAGACACACCATGATGAGTTCAAGAGGTATGAGATGATGAAGGAGCACGAGAGGAGGGAGCACCTGAAGAAAATGAGTGAGGAGGACCGAAAGAAGGAGGAGCAGCACTACGAAGAGATGAAGAAGAAACACGCCAACCATCCCAAAGTTAACCATCCGGTAAGACTAATACTAATGTCATTAGAAACTCTCAAAGCACTGAAACAAACAGAATGGTGGAGAGAAGACGTACCAGCTGCTTTCACTGGTCCACTAACAGAGAAGTGTTGTGTTCAGTTGGGTCTGACTGAACTGGAACAGGAAGTGAATTTATTCTCGTTATCACTCAGCTTTAGTCTTGTGTCCCATCGTTAGGGTACCATCAGTACCCTAACGTTAACCCTCTGGAGGCAGGCGTTGCAGACGTGCAACGTTAAATCCTACCTACCTGGTTGCTCCACATACGTACTCCATGAGCAGTTTTAAACTCCGAAGTTCCCCTGAAGGACTCAGTTGTTCGTCCTTTTGTCAAAACTTATTTTGAGCCTGAGAGGGTTAAAGGTCAAAGAACACACAATGGATTCAGAAAAACTTTGAATCTGGCAAAAGTAATAATGAGGAATAATGTATATATAATATTACTCACTTCTTACTTAACCTGACAGTCGAGCTGTTTCATCTTGTGTTGGCTGAGTTCCTTCGAATTTTCTCTCCACCATTAAAACAAATGTTTTTGATCTTTGTGGCCTCAGGACAGCCAGCGGTGTTATGTATTTACAAGAATGGCTTCTAAATTATAATTGTGTTTGTTTGTTTGTTTTCAGGGAAGTCAAGATCAGTTGAAAGAGGTGTGGCATGAGGCAGATGGTTTAGATCCAGAGGACTTTGATCCCAGGACCTTTTTCAAAATGCATGGTAACCACACACCACATCTGCCTTTAATTAACAAAATATATGAATCTGAACCCAACAATGGTTTTATGAGTATCTGCTAAAACCATTAACATTCATTTATACCCCATCATACATATTCTAAAAGAGATGTGCTGATTTCTGTTGTTTTGTTGCAGACAGCAACGGTGATGGCTACTTTGATGAAAGTGAGCTTGAAGCTCTATTCACTAAAGAGGTATTTGGTCATTTTCATGTCTGTCTCTTTGCATCTAAGGACAATGTGGAGGCAAAGAGGCCTTTGCTATAACATTTGTCTGCCTTTTTTCCAGCTGGAGAAGGTATACAACCCTAAAAATGAAGAGGACGATATGATTGAGATGGAGGAAGAGAGACTGAGGATGAGGGAGCATGTAATGAAGGAGGTGATATTTTCATTACTAATACAGAACCAATAAGCCCTGATTGGGCAACGATAGTAAAGAGGGCAAATATCAGCACAGAGACATAAAAGGTTTTAAACTGAACTAAAGCTCTATGCCTCCTTCCAGGTGGTTATCACCCATATCCAAAAAGGGGAATTGGTTTTGCATGTGTGTTTGTCTGTAGACCCAGGAACTTTGTAGCAGATTTTAATGAAACTAACTCACTGGGCGATGGCTGGATCCACCCCCCATTCAAGATGGCTGCCAACGCCAATGGCTCTTTAGATGAAGAGCTAGACTTTTACCAATAGAAGCAGGAACGCCAATGATAGATGACATTTGTTAGTAAAGAGCAACATTTAAAAAGAAAGTTATGTATCCAACAGAAAACAGACTTGTGGGAAATAACTACATTAACATAAACAGCTGGATGATAGAAGACCTAGTACAGTTATGAACAGATGTTGTGCCAGAATTGACACTAACATCATCTTATGCTGAAAATGAATTGAGTTTAAATGTTTTAGTGAATTCTTGATAATGTAATGTGAGATCTGAAGGGATGTGTTGGTGTTTGGAGTGTTCTGTTAAAGTCTCTCATTTACCTACACATAAAACTGTGGCTCAGTGTCTGTTAAACTGACGAGTTAGACCCAGTATTGTGTTTGAAAATGTCATTTATGGTCATCTTGAATCCGACTCAAATTATTATTATTCAGTTGTTCCTCTGGCGATAACTCTTAACAATGAATAGCTTTGGTGAAAGGTGTTGATCAAACCTGCTTCATGTGGTGACCTGCAGGTGGACTCCAACCAAGACAGACTTGTGTCTATGGATGAGTTTATAGCGGCAACCAAGAAGGAGGAGTTCCATGATAAAAACGAGTGGGAGGTAAGAGTATGAAAGGTTGGGTTTCTCTGGGTTAGATGAGTTTTACTAGTTGTGCCATAGTATTCCTGTTTCTCTTTATAATTTCAATATTCTTCAGTACTTTTTTTTTTATCATTCTCCTTCAACGCTTTTTCACCAAATTCGGTATCAAAACGTTCAGATTGTTCAACACTTGCCAGCTATGACTTTGGTATTAATATCATTAATATTGGGCCTGGCCATGGGCCTGGCAGTGTCTCCCAATATTTGAAGTTCCTCCTGTTTGTTGACTCTGTCTTTCATTTCCTCACCACCAACAGACTTTAGATCACAATCCCTTTTACACCGAGGAGGAGCTGAGAGAGTACGAGCAGCAGCTGGCCCACGAGGAGCATGACCTAAACAAGAAGTCTGCTGAGCTGCAGAAACAAAGGGAAGAGCTGGAAAAAAAACAGGAAGAACTAGATCATCAGAAGATGGGGCTGAAGCAGGTGGATAAAAAAGAAAACTTTGTAATTAGCTTACAAAGTTGATTTGGTGTTGTGACCTGTGTCTTTTCATGAAAGTGCATACATGTATTAAATGCAAGTCAGTCAGTAAGCTTGGGTGTATTTACAGTTATAGTACAAATGCCGTATAATACTAGAGCGTATTTGTTATTTTGATTATTGTGTGTACGTTATTATTTCTGTCTTCATCCTTTTTTCAGGCCATGGAAGAAATGGAACGGATCAAAGGCGAAACTCAGAAAGTGCATACAAATCGTAAGTACAACCGTAAAATGGCTTTAATTAGATGTTGGTATATCTCGGAGACATCTACAGTACCCTGCTCAGAGAATTCTTAATCTTCTGTTATTTGGATTGCTTTGGAGGAGAAATTAACTAAAACATCAGATTAAAAGTGAACCCGAGTCTGTTTCTGGTTTTGTTTTGATGCCAGCATGAGCTAAACATGATGGTACACTCAAAAGGCGAAACTGAATGTTGAGAAAGACCCAAAATAAGTCCAAGTAAGTGACTGCTGGACTCATTGTTTCTTATTATTGTGACTGAGAGTTCTGGGTGTGTTTTTACAGGGTAAAATAGCATTTTCCCACATTAGTTTAAGGTGAGGTTTTTACTCTAGGAATCTGACTTATATATTAAAGAATCTGACTAGGAACAGTTTTCACAAAAGAGTCACACACACACACACACACACACACACACACACACACACACACACACACACACACACACACACACACATACACATACACATACACATACACACACACACACACACAAATGGTCAAAATACTTTCAAAACATACAAAGTATATAGAGTTAATTATTATTGTTCTTCAGTTAAACTCCCTTTGTAACGTGAACCGTTGGAGATTTAGAGAAATATCGTTGGTCTTTAATACATCGCTGGTATTTTGACCATTTCTTTCTCATAAAGGTGCAATTCTTTGAAAAAGCTGTTTAAGGATGCAAATCTAGGAAAAATAACAATTAGGGTCCAGCCCCCTTTAGGCTCCTCCCCCTAGAGTCACGGAACCTGATGGTCACAGTAAATGGTACAACACCGGACACAAGAGATGCTATCAAACAATCGTAAAACATAACATTAACTTACATTTTCAACCCATGGTTGGCACCTTTTCTATATATATTATGGCCAAATAAAAATTCTAGCTAATACATTGTGGTTTATGTTGAGAAATTAAGTAATTTTTAGCTTTCATGATTTATTCATGACTTCATAATCCTAGCAGCTCAGCAACATCAACAATCTGGGGAAGCCCACTGCAAACAAGTGTAGCGTTAAGGATTGGCTACATGCGTATTAAATAATCAACAAGATGCGAGAGTCGGCTAGAAACCAACTGGATCAGGAAATAATTCTGTTTTATCAACTCCCATTGTTGATAAATTTGGCAAATCAGGATTTGACACATTTAAAGGGCCTTACCAAAAATACCAAGTCACTCCTTCCCTCACATACAAAGAGGGGTTAACCCTTTGTGTGAATGAGAATGTTTAAACATTTATGTGATGTGGCTGTTAAATCTTAATAACTTTTTTATAATATGCGTTTGCTGCTAGATTAAAACATCTTGTTCATTCAACATATTTGATTATTTCAACCTATAAGTTGTTAAGTCACCTATGAACTTTAAGGAAGATGAACTTCATTCAGAGTGAAAAATGCAGGAGTCTCGCTTCTGCATGAGACCTTGGCTGAAGACCTTGACTGGTAACAAGGTCTGGTGCAGGGCTTTCTGGTTTGGAGGCCAGACAAATGGGTTGTTTGTGTCTGCAAATTAAAAGTTACTTTCTGGTCGTTTTTGATGAAAATGTGACCTCTGATCTGCTACACACGGTCAGAACCCGAGCCGAACCTCCTCAGATGGGATGGTAAACAAAAAAACATTTAAATAAATTTTCTTCCGTGTGGTTCTGATGTATCATCATGGCTCAGTTCTAAAACAGGTTAAAATAATACACTTCACTGGCTGAACAAATCTACATGTTGGCCCTTCCCGTCTCATTTTCAAGACTAACTCTTAATTTTTAATTACAAGAAGCAAACATTTCTCCTAAACCACAAAAAACATTTCTACTCTATTTCTTGGGTTATATTGTATTTCTAAATGTGTGAATTGTCTGAATAACATCATTGTGTAAAATGCAGAGGAGTAAAACCCAACACAAAGCACCAAAACTACAAGTATCCATGGATGGTGCAAACCAAACACACTCCATTCTTATTTTTTATTTCTATTTATATACATATACATATATATTTGTGTGATTCTGTTTTTTTGTTAACTTACCTGTAACTTTGCTGCCGGTGCACCAGAATTTCCCCAATGAGGGACAATAAAGAGCTTTACTATTATTAATCTATTAAACCCAGCTAATTCTACTTGTGCTTGTATGACTTCCTGTTGCAGAGCCTGGACCTCACATTACTGACAATCAACGAACTAAAGTTGTACCGGGGAACAACCACCCACCTCCTCCTAGTCACAAGCAGCAAGATGTACCAGTTCAAGGACACTCCTAGTGTGTGTGCGTGTGACAATCTCTGTGTTCTGATTGTGTGTCTATATTTTCTTCATCTTAGTTTCCTGTTTAGGATTTTCAAACATCTAAAAAACAAGCCGGAGCACCAAAAGCACACGAGGGAACCTGATTATGAGCCTTCAGAGTCGGTGCCATTGATATCTCCCCTCCTGCTAATAAGCTGAATGAGCCAGATTTGAAACTTTGAGCTGCTCTAGTTGGCCTGTGGACAATCGGCTCTTTTGTTTTTTTGCTTTTTCAACTTTTTATCACAATGAGGATGCTGTTCTTCATGGGCACTCGTTAGGAGGGAAATGGCAAGGGCAGTGGCCTGATTATTGAATGTTTTGTGAAGACTGTATTTTAGTTTGTGGTGGATCTTGTTTCTTACAGAAGAAGCAAAATAACTTATTTTTATCGTAAGAAATCTTAACATAAATAAACTTTGGGGTTTGAAATCATCCTACCTACATTAAGTTATTATTTAATTCCACTGGCACATTCCTTAAAAACCATTTCCATTCTCTTGCAGTTTCTTCTGCACCAGCTGATTAAAGCACAGCGAAGTTACACTCTACTTCCGTTTTTACAGCTGTGCTGTTAAAGTGACAGTTTTATGATTTCTAACTGTGTCGTTTGTGTGTCAGGCTCAGAACAGCGTTAACATGTGTGTCATAACTCATGTTGACAATAAAGTATGTGATTTATTTATTCTTTAATCCCACCTGAAAATAATGTTTTCTAATGGTTAAAAGGACTGTTGAGGACACAAACATGGACTTCTTTTTTATGAAGAGGTAACTTAACCATATTTTTATTTACCTTGTGCAAACATTTTTTCCTCATTCAGAAGCAAAGTCATTTTCCTATTCTGTGCAATGAAATTATGAAACTGTTGTACATGAATAAAATCATGCAAAGAAATTGAATCAGCTTGCAAGTGTAGCACTTGAATTCATTTACTCGCATTTATGAAAATAATCATATGGTCTCAGCATCACACTCAGTTTTGATAGATGAGTTGGATTACTGAATATAAACTGGTTCATTTCTAGACTAGTGCCATCCAGTTTAGTCCAGATGCACCATAAATCCAGAGTGTTCTCTATATCAGTGATTACTCTTTTTCTCAGAATGGGATTACAACTCCTCATGAAACTCTTAGCCTTCAGCCTGTTCGTAGGTTTCGTTAAAGCGCTGAGTGACATAGTCACCTGCTGTGATCGGTGGGTATTTGCTTGAGCCATCACAGCAGCTGATCAGCGCCTCATCATCAGGATGGACAAAGAAAGCCAGGGACTGACGAGTGCAGGAGTCTCCTTCAGGGGGCAGCAAAACCCTGTGACACTGGAGAAAAAGGATCAAAACTAAGTCACCGAGTACTGACATCAACAAGGCATGTAGGTGGAAGTGTAATAATATGGGAACACATGGCTGAACCATGTTTCAAAGCAGCTCAAAAGGTACTTTATCTAGACTGATTGCTTCCGGATGCAAAGAAACAATACTTGTCTCGGAAATGTGAGCCTGTGTGAAATACAGCAGTGGAGATGCAGCCTTGAAGATCTACTGCCTTTGTTCTTCCCTCATTTATATTCATACATTGTCTGTGAAGTCAGCGCTTACACTGAGAACCAGTTTCAGAGTCTTTGAAGGAGCACATCCAATTCACCAGTGGTTTGGTACATTTGGCTTTTTTATACCTCCACATTGTGAATATATCAGCATTCAAATTAAGGTAAGTTAATTTGAATGCTGAGTGAAATGCACTTAAGTTGTTTTTATTTAAAAAAAATCAATATTCAAAAGTATTAGTGCAAGAATAAATTGATTAGCATTAGCTGGGTTTTTTCCAAGTGACCTAGTTACTTACAAATGCTGCAGAGACCTGGATTCTCTCAAGTTTGAGAATGCCACTAACTCTGAAAATGCATGAATAACCAAGATACTAAAAAGTAATTCAGTTCCTGATTGATTCCAGCCTCTGTGACAATAACACATGTATTTGTTGCCAACACATCTCAATTATTTAACTGCTTAGTTGCCTCAGAAGGCAATGGCAAGACTCTTAATCATTGCAAAATGAACGTCAGACAGTTCATATAGAGTATGAAATGAAAAAGACTGTGAGAAACAAATCCTCACCACAGAGATGAAGCGATCAGCAGTCCAGCGCTGCATCAGGTCAGCGATGTTGACCAAAACGGCTCCAGAGACCGCCGGGGCAGCGATGAATTCCCCTGAGCGTGCACAAACCTGAAGGGTAAAAAGTGTCAGGTTGATCAAGACAAACTCAACAATTTAATGGTTTAGAAACAAAGTTATCTACAAGGACGATTTTGGCTGATCTAGACTGCAGTTTGTGGATGATTGTAAAAAATGAGTTACTGATATTAATTAGAATATGGAGCCATAGGTAAAGGACCGACTGGTAGGGGGTACCATAACGTTATCATGGTAAATGCTAAATGGCTTGCATTTGTATAGCACCGTCTTAGGGTTCTACAACCTCTCAAGGTTCTTCACAACACAATCAGTCATCCAACCATTCACACACACATTCACACGCTGATGGGGATGAGCTACGATGTAGCCACAGCTGCGCTCGGGCGCACTGACAGAGGCGAGGCCTGACATACCCACTACCGTTCTCTCTGACCACCACCAGTAGGAAGGGCTGGTTAAGTGTCTTGCCCAACGACACAACAGCAGCATCCTTTGGTGGGAGCCGGGATCGAACCTGCAACTCTCCGATTACTGGATAACCCGCTCTACCTCCTGAGCTACTGCTGTTTATGGAAAAAAGTTTAACCCTCCCACTGTCTTTATGGGTGACCCCGCGACGAAAGTTGACCATTGAGCAGGGTTGATGGTTTATCCCTTGAGGTCCACGTGGCAGGGGTGAGGTGGTGCTCACTCCTCACTCCTGCCATGTGGACCCAAGGGATAAACCATCAACCCTGCTCAATGGTCAACTTTCCTCGTGGGGTCACATCCATTAGGACAGTGGGAGGGTTAAGAGATGAGAGGAAAAGCACCTTTGAAGTCCAAAATTTAACAATGTGTTTAGGATGTATTGCTTTTGTCCATAACTATAAGTAGTAGAAGTTATAATACCAAGAATAATATGTTGAAAGTAAACAAAGATTCAGTTTAAACAGATACCAAAGCAGATTTTTTTAATTACATAACTAAACAGTGTGTACTACATTAGTAACTGGCCAGGTCAATGAAAGAGAAAAACGAACAGCATCACAGATGCATTAACACGGCTGAATGAAAAACTAATTGTTCAAAATATTCAATTGGTGAGAGAGAATGAGGGCTGTTTGTGTCATGAGCCGGGGTGAGTACTATCATTTCACCTTACCATCTTTGAGTCTCTTGCCAGGAGAGGGAGTGCCCAGCTGTTCCTGATCAGCAATCAGCGGGGTGTTTCCTATTTAAGGTGGATGGTGGACACAACTCAACGCCGATTGGGTAGAGAAGTTAGATTTAATTTCAGCGGCACTATACACAATATTTATTATTTCTCTCTCTCTTAATGCCTTTTTTTGCAAAAAAATCTGCCATTTCATTTCCTTCTACTCCTCTATGTGCCGGTACCCATAAAAAGTTAACTTCTGTATCCGTAAACACAGATACATGTGACGTAGGATGTCCGAGTGGGACCCCGTGTGAGAGGATGCAGGGATTCCCCCAGTGAGCGAGGTCCCCGTCCACTGAAGTGGGAACCCTCAACATATGTCTCTTCTGACGTAGCAGGTGTACCCGGAGGCAGACGAACCAACGCTGTAGGCGTCTCGTGTGCAGTAAACCTGACGGCACCACAGCGTGGGCTGCAGCCATCATGCCCAGAAGTTTCATGACTAACAGGGTTCTCACGATCTTGCGGGGTTGCACGCGGGAGATCACCGTGGTGAGATCTGCCGCTCTCGCCGGAGACAAACGTGCTCTCATTAGGGAGGCGTTCAGCTCCACCCCGAGAAACACAATCGACTGGGATGGAAGGATGGAGCTCTTTTCCCAGTTCATGGAAAACCCCAGGGTTGACAGATGCTCTATTAACTTCCTGGTTTGCTCTGACGCCTCGTCCTTGGACCGGGCGCATAGGAGCAGATCATCCAGGTAAAATAAAACCCTCTTTCCCGCCGTGCGCAAAGGCTGCTGAGCGGTCTCCAGACATTTGGAGAAGGTGCGCGGGGCTAGTGAGTAGCCGAAAGGGAGACGATTGAACTGGTATTGAACTCCCTTGAATGAAAAGCGCAGGAACTTCCGGTGTTTGGGAATTACTGGGATGTGGAAGTATGCGTCTTTTAGGTCTATTGATGTGAACCAGTCCCCAGAGCGCACATATTCTAGGACTTGGCTCATTGTTAACATGCGGAAATGCATCACTGCTATGGAGCAGTTGAACAGGGAAAGGTCGAGAATTGGTCTCATTCCTCCCGACTTCTTCAGTACTACGAAGTAGCGAGAGTAGAGGCCTGAGAGCTCTTGTCCGCGAGGGACTTGGGAAATGGCGTCCTTGGACAGAAGTTCCCGTAGCTCCAGCTCCAGGGCCTGAGATTGTACCTGTGACGTGAACGTCGTCTCCACGATCCCGTTGAAGGGAGGAGGAGCGGACTGAAAATGGAGTGTGTGACCGCAATGAATTGTGTCCGATATCCATTTGCTCATGAGACAAAGGCGGCGCCATTCTTGCACGCGTTCCGACAGCGGACGCATGTTCGAGGTCACGTGAACAACGTCTGAGGACTGGGTTCGCGCCCTTACCGCCATTGCTCACACCAGAGAACTGGGAGCGACCCATGAAGGGCTGCGCTCGAAAGGGCGAGTGTGAAACAGCTGGTCAGCCCTTTCGATGACGTTCCTAAGATGGAGACCAAACAGAACGTCAGAGGTGATGGGGCCTTCCAGCATCTCCCTGTGCAGGTGTTCAGGAATGGAAGGCAGGGCCACAAGGCCCGCTGGATAAGGGTCTGCCAGGCAGCAATGCGAGCAGAACCGGTGAGTACAGCAGCGCACAGATTGAGAATGGCATCAGCAGTTTTAGTAATGATGGTTTTTGACTCATCAGGAGCGTCAAGCTCTTCCACCATTTTGGAAATGCCAAAGGCAAGAAGGGCAATGTTATTTCCTGCAGCGCCGGTCTGGAAGGCGCACTGGTGTGTGCGATCCGTGAGCCGCGTCAGCAGCTGGTCATGCTTAGAAGCGGGAACTGCTCGCGGGACAGCGAGGTGGTTCTTGGCACCAAACAGCGAGGCCAAGTCCGGCTCCATTGGAGGAACGGATGGCCAGCCTTGTTCGGAGAAGCCCTCGACCTTGGCAATGGGCACATATGTGGAAATTGGCGCCTTGAGCTTATCAGGCTTGGAGAAGGCGGCGGACCAGCAGCTCATGGCAGTGGGGAAGCGCGGCCAGATGGGGTCTGGACAGTGCGTCTGCGTTGCCCCGAAAATTCCCGCCAAATCATCTGCCTCAGGTGGAGCCGGCTCTGGCACAGCAAGCTCCTTGCGTACCACAGCCGCGGAGATGATGGCAGACAGCTCCTGGAGCAGTGCTCTAACTGCTGGCAGGGAGGAGCGAGAAGCCACTGGAGCAGAAGGACCCGCTGAGCAAGGCTCTTCGACCTCCGTGTTGTCCAGGAGGGAAGAAGGGCTATGGCAGCCAGCCTCGTCGTACTCCACACTGTCGATGACATCGTCCAGTCGGTTGAAGGCAGCCGGCTTCTGGCCGACGTTGAAGAACTGTAAGGCCTTGTCCAGCGAGTTCGTGTCAGCCACCGGAAATTTCTCGTCGGCGGTGGGGGTGAAGTACTCGACCCGACGGACCTTTTCAGCCACGGGCAGAGCGGCACAAAACGGGCACGAGGCCTGGGGGGTCAAGGCCAGGCCAGCGTGATGAGCCCCGAGACAGACCTCACACTTGGCGTGCAGGTCGCCGCTGGAGATGGAGCCCGTCTGGCAGGCCGGGCAGGTCCTGGCGTCGCTGGACATGGTAGGTGAGTAGAATGCTTCTTGGATAATTGCTCTTTAAAGGAAGCTCTTAAGCTTGGCTTGAAGAGATAACGGAGGCGAACAGTGGAGTCTCTCCACTTATATACCCACAGGGGTGCCCACCATTGGTGGGCGTACATTTAAGCTCTTCATGATTGGCTGACGCTGAGATCATCCTTCCAACAGCAGCTAGCTTAAGGGCTAAGACTAGACAAAATAGAACGCAACGCCGGAAGATTGCCTCAGCTTGGTAGTACCCAGCCACTTGTGTTTAACCTCTAGTGTCTCTAGGATTCTTGTGCTTATAGTGTTTGCTCTAGGTATTTTTTGATTTTTGACTTTTTGCTACCACCTGGTATTTTGGATTATCTCCCTTCTTCAGGATTCCTGTTTGTTCTCTGGTCGCTAACTTTTGGATACCTACCTCTGGACTCCAGGATTTGGATACTTTGCACGCGGACCAAATCACCAATCTCCATAACTCTCCCCTCTCATCTCAACCCAGTACCCCAGCCACCAGGACGCCCCGCTCCCTCTCCTGCGCTTCCCCCGGCTCTCAGCCTGCTCCCTCCTCCAGCCAGCAAACTCTCGTCCCACAGTAAGTCCCGCTGAACACCTCTGCCTAAATGGATTTCCGAATCTGAATCTATGCTCACCAGTGCTCTCCCTCCTCCAGACGCAGAGCTGTCGAAGCAGTTCCAGCCACAGATATTCTGTGCATCCTCAGTTCCTTCTTGAAATAAAACATTTTTTTACCCCGTTCTTGGTCTGTGTTGTGTTCTGCATGTCTTGGGTTAGGTACCTTCCCCCAAACATGACAGTTTGTTTGAGTGGAACATGCCAAGCCCTAGAGGATGGAGTATTATGGGATGGCTATTTTGATAGCAATGATCAGTGTTTCCCCTAGGAACTTTTCCAGCTGTTGTGGTGGTGGTGGGAGGGGATTATAACACTTCTCACCTTTATGTTGTTTTATTTGATGCACTCCACTTTGAACTGCACCAATCCAGCAACTGATGCATTTTAATTAGTATTAAAGGTGAATACACCAATATTTGCACAAGAATAATTTTTGTTTTAAACTCAGTGACACACTTTGCAGGGGGGTTTGACATTTAATTTTTCTTGGCGTCTGGAAAAACATCTCCTTCTGCCCCCTTTATTTTGGTCCAAGATCATTACTGGGCTGGCCCTGTTAAACACGTTCTACACCCCTGCTTAGTAGACTTAATGAAGTATTTTTAAGCCAGTATAAAAATGACTGAAACACAAATTTACATATTTGGCATTATTGACCAATATCTTTGATTTAATTTATTTGTTAAGAACATCAAGATGCATTACAGTGAACATTATAATAAAGTACATTTTTGTAGTGCAGAGAGGAGACAACCCATAGAAGCACTGATTTGATTTCATTTCAGAGAAAAATAGAACAGGTCAGATGCACCTAATAAATAAAATTACTAACAAACTCAGGAATCTGTTTCTTTGCTTCGTTGTTCTGGTGCTGAAAACATCACTAATGTGGATCAAAGGAGATACACAGATGAATGCACCTTATTATTTGGAAATTAGTGGGTGTTGTTTACATCAATACATTATTTTAAATCTGAAACTGATATGGATTGATCAGAAGTTGATATGTGTATTGTTTATTTGAAAACTATTTACAGAGCAGCCTCAGAATTGAGATTAAATATTTTTGAGCACAATAGTAAAGGAAGTGTTACAGAACAAGTTTTTCAGTAAAATCAGAACATTATTATTTAAGTGCATGAATTAATGCGTCTGAACTCATGCAGTAGGAACTAGGAAATATGAAATACTAAAACCATTTTATTTTAATTTGATTAAACTGATTTTTTCCTAACGTTGTTGGCATTTCTTCCACACACAGTTAAACAAAACAAGGTTGACTGAGCTGTGTGGGTGTGTGTGAGAGAGAGAGAGGGAGAGAGAGTTAAAATAAAAAAGACCGGAGCGGAGGCAGTGACCGACGCATGCACGGGCCGTTTTCAGCTCTGTCTTGTCAAATGCACCACGTACGTTACGAAACAAGTAACTTTAAATATTCAACCGAAAAAGAGACGAGCTGAAGAAAACCTAGGGAGTTGTGAAGAAATGTGAGCAACACTGAAGCAAGCACAGAGAGACCCGTTACTGTCTGTGTGTGTGTGTGTGTGGATGGGCAGGACGGACTGAGCTCCCGGCTACAGTTTTGTGTGTAGAATGTGACTGGCCAATCACAGAGCGTGAAGACAGTCAGTTACCCAATGAGGATTTTCCTTCAGCACGATTACAGATATTTATAAGTTTTACTCATTTCATGCTCGTATTTGTCAAAAATGCTTTATCCGTACCGGATACTCGTCTGAAACGAGTATCCGGCTCATCCCTAGCTGTAACCACCCTGCCCTGCCTTCTCCTCCTTGCTGCCTGCCGGCTGAGATCACAAGCAACAACAGAATAGTTCCCGCTGCTTCTTCGGGAAACGGCGCAAAAAAAACAAACAATAAAACTTGGGATCTTGTAGGCGTGGTGCTACGCCCATGTAGGGGAAACACTGATGACATATTTCAAACATTTTCAACATGTTTAAAATTCCTCAGATTTAGACTTGGAGGGGGTTACCTGCAGCCCGTCAGAGCCCTGGAACACCAGAGTGATGCTGCCATAGTCTGAATGCTCGCCACATCTTAGCTGATTTTCCTTGGCTGTCTTCACTGGAGGGTAGTACAGGGAGCGCAGAGTTGTTTTATTTTCATCAGCTACAGAAGACAGCACGGAAAACTTTGCTTAGTGCTAGGTTACTGATTTTACCCCTCATATCATCCAGGAACAGTTCATGCAATGATCATACTTCCTATTAGAGCATGTGCACGAATGAACACATCAGGATCCAGACCCAGACTGAGGGCCATCACCCTGAGAACACGCAGACTCAGCTCTTTACAGCGCTGGAAAAAAGACCTGTGGATCTCCAGAAAATCTGCTGAAGGCCATTTCTGCAGAAGGAAGGTGAAGCAGAGCTGAACTATACGTTCATGATTATTTAACAGACTAGATGCTAATTTTAGAACCACCACACAACACATGTATACATTAACTGCAACCTAACAGAGTGAGTATTGTTCTTTAACTGCAAAGTGACCTCAGAAACCTGACCTCTGTGATGAGTAAATCTACTGATCTACCAGAGTCGATCAGCAGCAGACATTGACAATGTTGTACTTTAGCCTCCAAACTGATTTTCTTTAGGTTACTAGTTCTTTAGGTAGATATGCAGAATGAAATGCACATATTTAAAGTGAATAATTACAATATCAGGGTGAAAAGAAGACGTGTTGAAAGACTCCTTCAGGTCTCCAGGACGTTTGGGATTTAGCCTACAAAGAATAATCTGCATTTAGAGCCATGGGAAACTAAGATTGTTCTTTTTTTTACTTAATTATATGACAAACTTCTCGGTCTCCAGGGACACCCAGCCATGATTGGGACTTTTGGGGAAGCTCTGCCTGCTGAAGGGATGTTTCAGTCCCTCTGGCTGCAGGAAGAATTTCTTGTCTATTTCCATGACTTTGTTCACCTTTCAAACACATAAACGCAAGTTAATCCAAGCACTTCAAGACATGTTATCTGAGTTTTTTTTTTATAGCTGTACCTCCTCCGGGGTTATCCCTGAGTTCTGGAGGAAAACAAATCCTATTTCCGTGAAGGCTTGCTTCAGCTCCCCACTCAGCTCCTGCAGCTGATCCGCGCGCACATCCTTCTCTCCCAGACTGTAGGAGCGGAAGTCCACCACCGGGATGCTCATGTTTAAAATGGATTTTAAATGCACAGAAAGTTTTAAAGAAACTTGGAGAATCGCAGCCCTTGTTGGCGAAAAGCGAGATGTCGGTCACGTGGCACGCCCTGGCCAATAGAGGGAGGAGCTCTCGCACAGGCTGTTCACCTTTGTGCAGTCTATGCTTTGTGCAGCAGGATGAGGTAACCTGCTCCTGACCACGAGGACCTAACCAACAACACCTGGTCCCATCAGTCACCACTAGGGGGGCTGTGGGCATAAAAACAGACCCAGTCAGTGTTTGCCTCTTGGGGAGGAATGGTCTGAGGTATCCGCTGCTTCAGCATGCAGGTGGTCTCTTCCTGGAGGAGCCTTTGTACAACGCTGTGTGGGAATCGGGCTGTTTGCTCGCGGAGTGGAGGCACTCTGTTGTTCTTCCGTTTTTGAAGCCGGGTTGGCCCCCTGGTTCCCCGGACTCCTATTGGCCTATAGCTCTGACGTCTGTGGTCTAAGATTATGGAGCGCGTGGTCACCTCGAGGTTGGTGTACTTCTTGGAGCGTGGTGGCTTTTTTGCTCGTTGCCAGAGTGGGTTTCGGCTGGGGCTGTCCACGATGTAGATAATCCGTGGGAGTTTACGCGCAGCGTACACAACGTCTCTCCGCCTCTAGCCATGGCTAACTAGTAGCTTGGTAGCCGGTGATGACGCCCATCCCCACCACGACTAGCTGGTGGATAAGTCAGCATTGTTAACTTGATGTCCAGCATGTCCCCGGCTCACAAACACGCCTTCACCCGCCGTAGTTAACGACCAGCCGGTGATCGCTCCATATCCAAATAAGCCGGTAGCGGCAGCCAGTTTGTTTACATCGAGGCGCAGTGATCCACGTGAAATGGGTGTTGTGGGAAATTATGTTCCCCTGAAATATTCTGTTTTCCTTAGGCAGTCAAGAGCAAATGTTTCCAAATCCACATAACTTATTGTTCATTATGAGGACTAAACTACCTCAAATAAAAGATAGTTAAACTGAGTGGGATTACATCCTTTTATAAAACTTTCAAAAATGATAAGCTTGCTGCAAAAGAGTGAACAAGAATGTTTTTACTGTATGTTTATCTTTATTGTTTTTAGGAGGAAATGCGGATAAAAAATCAGAAGCATAACATAATTACATCACATAATTTTCCCGTAAAAGTATATCACAAATGTTGTGAAAATAGCCAGAAGCACGATCTCCCAACACGGTGGGCAGAATATTTCAGGGGACCACAATTTCTCACAACACCTGGCTGACGTCACCCCTCCTCATGATAATCGTGACAGCTTCAAGCACATAACTAGCTTGCTTCCTTCAGAACTGGTAGGTTGATAAACTGTCATAATTATAAATAGTTTGGGTTAGGCTACATAGGTTGGAAATTGATACATCAAACTCATGAGTGAGCCACCATAGCTACAATACTTTCTCTGAACAGCATGGCGCTAAAGAGTCACATTTTTTCATCATGATTTCAATGGATTTCACACATGGGGCCTTTAAGTTGTCCCCATCCAAGTCCAAGTATATGGTTTTTGGGCTTAAACGGAATGGAATATCGGTGGGCTGCCATTGGGTGGGCTGCCGCGGGAGCACGTGGGCTCTTTTAAGTACCTGGGCATGTGGCTGGATGAGCGACTGACATGGGGGTGCTCATGTTCAGAGCCTGGAGGCCAGGTGTGGACGGGTCTTGAATGTGATGCAGTGCTTGGCTGGGATGGATTGGGGGCGAGCCAATGCACCTTGCTGATGGTGTATTGGAGTGTGTTCAGGTCGGCCCTGGACTATGGGTGTTTCCTGTACGGCTCGGCTGTCCCTACTGCCCTGAAGAGATTTGATGTCTTGCAGGCGGCGGCTGTGAGGGTTTGTGGTGGGGCGTTTCGGTCTACCCCAGTTGCTGCCCTTCTGGTCGATGTGGGTGAGATGCCCTTGGAGTTTTGTCGAGTTAAGCTGGGTCTCCGGTACCTGATGAGGGCCAGGGGTATGGGTGATGCTTCTCCTGCATCAGGCCTGTTGGACCAGCATTGGGAGTTTGGATGGCGGGGTCGGTATGGTGGGGGTGGATTTTCTGTCCGGTTTCGGGACAGCGGACGCCTTAGGCTTCCTAGGGTTGGCCTGTCTGTTCACACCTGGTCTGGTTTGATGTTTTGCCCTGGCTTCTGCTTGCACTGGAGGTGGATTTTACCTTTCTGGGGCGGTGCCGTGATGGTGGGGTGCCTGGTGCTTTTCAGGATTTTATGGGGTTGGAGTGGGGCTCTCATTTGCAGCTGTGTACAGATGGCTCTAAGGATCCTGATAGTGGTCAGGTGGCGGTGGGTGCGGTGGTCCCACACCTGTGCTTCAGCTTTGGTTGTCAGGTCCGGGACCATTCTGTGTTCACGGCTGAGTTGGTGGCTATCTTATGTGCCTTGTGTTGGGTGGAGGAGCGTGTCCTGGAGCGTGCCATTATCTGTTCTGACTCAGCAGCTGCGTTGGTGGTTCTGTCAGGGTCAGGCTCTAGCTCTAGGCCGGACCTGGTGATTTCTGCCAGGGATCTGTGGGCCTGTGGCTGTGAAGTTTGTTTTGTTTGGGTTCCAGCCCATGTGGGGGTGGTGGGCAATGAGCGGGTGGACTTTGTGGCCAAGGCGGTGCTGAGAAGTGCCGTTGTGGACCTGGAGGTTGCCTTGGGCTCCCCTGAGTATTCTGCGATAGGCAGGGAGGTTGTGTGATTGCGGCAGGCATCGTGGGATTGTGGGGTGATGGTAGAGGCTTTTATGGGTTGCATCGTTTGGTGGGTGGCCTTGTGTCGGTCCTCGATCTTCGGAGGAGAGACGCAGTGGTCCTCGCTCAGTTGAGGTTGGGGCATTGTGGTCTTCGGGGCGGGCTGTTTTTGGTGTGGAAACACATGGACGGGAGGCGTGATTGTGGGGAGCTTGAGTCTGTGTGTCATGTTCTTTTGCTCTGTGGACGGTATGGTCGTGAGAGGGAGGCCTATTTTTGGAGGTTGAGGGCTATGGGTCTGTCGGTGTTTTCCTTGCGAACCTTGTTGGGTGTGGAGGACAGGCGTAGGGTGTGGGCCCTGGTGTGGTTTCTGCGTGAGAAGGGGATTTATGAGAGGCTGTGACGCTCTCTGGCGGTGTGTTTGGACAGCTGTGGCAGCAATACGCCTCGTGGGCATCTAGCCTGCCTGACTCATAGAAGTAGAAGTTTCTCTCTTGCTAACGGAAGTAGCGTACTGTAGCAGCTTAAGCTGGACGTGTGTTGGTTCGCGGTGAGTACTCTGATCAGCTGTTAAAGGCAGATTAGTGACACAACTAATACAGGCTTGTATGCAAACAGAGGCAACGTTTGGAAACTCAATAATAGAGCTGTCACTATCTGCGTGCTGTTGGACGGGAAGTGTGCCTACCATCTAGTGTGACCTACTGTTGGCGTGGTATGTATGGGCGGCACGCCCCCCCCCCCCCCCCCCCCGCACGCGCAGTCGTGACTTTTCTTTTTTTGGGGTTAGCAAGGTTTATCGCCTTTTAGGACCCGAGGTGTTGTGGTGCTTGTGAGACGTTGTTTTGAGTCACTGCCGTGACACTCAGACGACCGAGGAGCGGTTCAACAGAGCTGATCAACCTACCTGGAGCGATTGGGCTGCCGCTCACTCAGAGCGCAGCCGAGGATGGACCTTCTGTAGTGCTCCTTCGCCAAACATCTTCCACTCAGCATGCCGGTTGGAGTGCATAGAGAGATCTCCTCTCCCCTGCGCATGAGGGCTCTGGAGCACTATTGCATACAGTGGGGCAAAAAAGTATTTAGTCAGCCACCGATTGTGCAAGTTCTCCCACTTAAAATGATGACAGAGGTCAGTAATTTACATCATAGGTACACTTCACAGTAGGTATGGTGTTCTTGGGATGCAACTCAGTATTCTTCTTCCGCCAAACATGACGAGTTGAGTTTATACCAAAAAGTTCTACTTTGGTTTCATCTGACCACATGACATTCTCCCAATCCTCTGCTGTATCATCCTTGTGCTCTCTGGCAAACTTCAGATGGGCCTGGACATGCACTGGCTTCAGCAGCGGAACACGTCTGGCACTGCAGGGTTTGATTCCCTGCCGTTGTAGTGTGTTACTGATGGTGGCCTTTGTTACTGTGGTCCCAGCTCTCTGCAGGTCATTCACCAGGTCCCCCCGTGTGGTTCTGGGATTCTTGCTCACCGTTCTCATGATCATTTAGACCCCATGGGATGAGATCTTGTGTGGAGCCCCAGATTGATGGAGATTATCAGTGGTCTTGTGTGTCTTCCATTTTCTGATAATTGCTCCCACAGTTGATTTTTTCACACCAAGCTGCTTGTAGATTCACTCTTCCCAGTCTGGTGCAGGTCTACAATTCTTTTCCTGGTGTCCTTCGAAAGCTCTTTGGTCTTGGCCATCGTGGAGTTTGGAGTCTTGACTGTTTGAGGCTGTGGACAGGTGTCTTTTATACAGATAATGTGTTCAAACAGGTGCCATTAATACAGGTAACGAGTGGAGGACAGAAAAGCTTCTTAAAGAAGATGTTACAGGTCTGTGAGAGCCAGAGATTTTCCTTGTTTGAAGTGACCAAATACTTATTTTCCACCCTGATTTACAAATAAATTCTTTAAAAATCCTGCCATGTGAATTCATGGATTTTATTTCACATTCTGTCTCTCACAGTTGAAGTGTACCTATGATGTAAATTACTGACCTCTGTCATCATTTTAAGTGGGAGAACTTGCACAATCGGTGGCTGACTAAATACTTTTTTGCCCCGCTGTATTTTAACATTGTTCCTTTTATTGTTGCCGTTATCAACCCCTGTTGGTGGACTTTAACGCTCACGCGGGCAACAACAGTGAGATCTGGGGAGGTGTGGTTGCGAGAAACAGCCCCCTGATCTGAATTCGAGTGGTGTTTTGTTATTGGACTTCTGTACTAGTCCTGGATTGTCCATAATGAACACCATGTTCAGACATAAAGGTGTCCATATGTGCTCTTGGCACCAGGATACCTTAGGCTGCAGCTCAATGATCAACTTTGTTGTTGTTTCATCTGACCTGCGGCCGCATGTCTTGGACCCTCGGGTGAAGAGAGGGGCGGAGCTGTCAACTGACCACTACCTGGTGGTGAGTTGGCTCAGATGGTGGGGGAGGATGCCGGTCAGACCAGGCAGGCCCAAACGTATCGCAAGGGTCTGCTGGGAACGTCTGGCAGAATCTCCTGTCAGAAGGAGCTTCAATTCCCACCTCCGACAAAACTTCCAAAATGTTCCGGGGGAGGTGGGGGACATTGAGTCTGAATGGACCCTGTTCCGTACCTCCATTGTTGAGGTGGCTGACCGGAGCTGTGGGCGCAGGATCGTCGGTGCCTGTCGTGGTGGCAACCCCGAACACGCTGGTGGACACTGGCGGTTAGGGATGCTGTCAAGCTGAATGTGGCAAGGTGTAGAAACGAGGGCCCGGGCGGGATTCGATCCCCAGACTCCCGGGTGAGAGTCATGTGCGCTAACCAGTCAGCCAAAGGGACATCCCCTTGGTCAAGTAGCCAGAGCACATGATCAGTCAGGACACAGTGACGACAGGACGCTCACACTGTCACATGAAGAAAGCGTCCTATCAGGTCTTTTTGGCCTGTGGGACTCCAGAGGCAGCTGACGGGTACCGGCAGTCCAAGCGGAATGCGGCTCGGGTGGTCACAGAGGCAAAAACCCGGGCGTGTGAGGAGTTCGGTGAGACCATGGCACAAGACTTCCGTACGGCTTCGAGGAGATTCTGGTCCACCATCCGGCGCCACAGGGGGAGAAAGCAGTTTATTACCAACTCAATTTATAGTGGGGACGGTGTGCTACTGACCTCTACTCAGGATGTTGTGGATCAGTGTGCAGAATACTTTGAAGACCTCCTCAATCCCACCGACATGTCTTCCAGTGAGGAAGCAGAGTCTGGGGACTTTGAGTTGGCCTCTTAAACCTCTGGTGCTGATGTCACTGAGGTGGGTAAAAAGCTCTTCTGTGGCAAGGCTCCAGGGGTGGATGAGATCCGCCCGGAGTTCCTTAAGGCTCTGGATGTTGTGGGGCTGTGTTGGCTGACGCGGCTCTGCAATATCGCGTGGACATCAGGGGCAGTCCCACTGGACTGGCAGACTGGGGTGGTGATCCCCTTATTTTAAAAGGGGGACTGCAGGGTGTGTTCCAGCTACAGGGGGATCTCACTCCTGAGCCTTCCTGGTAAGGTCTATTCAGGGGTTCTGGAGAGGAGGGTCCATCAGATTGTTGAACCTCAGATTCAGGAGGAGCAATGTGGTTTTCGTCTTGGCCGTGGAACACTGGACCAGTTCTATACTCATAGGGGAATCCTGGAGGGTGCGTGGGAATTTGCCCAACCAGTCTTCATGTGTTTTGTGGATTTGGAGAAGGCGTTTGACTGCGTCCCTTGGGGGGCCCTGTGGGGGGTACACTGGGAGTATGGGGTACCAGGCCCTCTGATACGGGCTGTTAGCTCCCTGTATGACTGGTGTCAGAGCTTGGTCCGTATTGCCGGCAGTAAGTCGGGCTCGTTCCCAGTGAGAGTTGGACACAGCCAAGGCTGCCCTTTGTCACCGATTCTGTTCATAACTTTTATGGACAGGATTTCAAGGCGCAGCCAAGGTGTTGAGGGCATCTTTTTTGGTGGCCTGAGGATCAGGTCTCTGCTTTTTGCAGATGATGTGATCCTGTTGGCTTCATCAGAACGTGATCTTCACCTTTCGCTGGAGCGGTTTGCAGCCGAGTGTAAAGCAGCTGGGATGAGAATCAGCTCCTCTAAATTTGAGGCCATGGTCTTGATTCGGAAGAGGGTAGAATGCCTTCTCCGGGTCAGGGATGAGGTCCTGCCCCAAGTGGAGGAGTTTAAGTATCTCGGGGTCTTGTTCACGATGAGTGAGGGGAAAACTGGAGCATGAGATCGATAGGCGGATTGGTGCTGCATCTGCAGTGATGCGGGCGTTGTACCGGTCTGTCGTGGTGAAGAGAGAGTCGAGTCAAACGGCGAAGTTCTCGATTTACCGGTCAATCTATGTTCCTACCCTCACCTAAGGTCATGAGCTTTGAGTAGTGATCGAAAGAACGAGATTGTGGATACAAGCGGCCGAACTCCGCAGAGTGGCTGGGCTCTCCCTCAGAGATAGGGTGAGAAGCTCGGTCATCCGGGAGGGGCTTGGAGTAGATTCGCTGCTCTTCCACATCGAGAGGAGCCAGTTGAGGTGGCTCAGGCATCTGGTCAGGATGCCTCCTGGACGCCTCCCTGGTGAGGTTTTCCGGACACGTCCAACTGGGAGGAGGCCGAAAGGTAGATCCAGGACATATGGAGGGACTATGTCTCTCACCTGGCCAGGGAACGCCTTGGGATTTCCGCGGAGGAGCTGGCCCAAGTGGCTGGGGAGAGGGAAGTCTGGGCCTCTCAACTTAGGCTACTGCCCTCGCAACCCTACTTCGGATAAGCGGATGAAGATGGATGGATGGATGGGTTTTCAACCCCTGTTTGTTTTGTCCAGGCTGGAGCCAAGGGGGGAGGCAGTGGTCCTCTGGTGTCGTTTGCTGTGTGCTGGCTGGTGTTGGTTCCTGCGTGACTGCTCACTATTGGTTGGGGTGATTTTTGTATTTAGTTTTTCTTATTTTGCTAAATCCTCTAGTGATCCCACTACACCTTGGTAAGCTCCAGCCTTGTGACGCCAGTTATTTTCCTTTGTTTAAATTCCCCCTTCTTAAATTAGTATTTTGAAATGATGCACTTGATTAAACTTGTCTTTTACAAATATAGTTGTTTAATAAATTTATGAAACTGTTGCAACCTCGTTTCTGCCGCCTTTTTGGAGCATGAACCTACGTGTGCCTAGAGGTATCTAATTTTATTTCTCTGGTGAAATTCTCAAGGTGGCATTGTTGTGTGTTCTCCCAGTTCAGGTAGTTGTTAATCAAGGTTAAAGGGGCTCGCTTCATAAAGAAGGTACTCTACCGTGAGCTCCGCCACATTTGGATGCTGACACAGGTGTGTTGTAAAAGACATTGTCGATGCAACAACGTTTAATCGCAACTTGAACTGTAAAACCTGTAAAACATCTATCTCCCCTTGTTACTCCAAATAGATCTGAAAAAGAATGTTGGACCTCAGTAAGGAGTGGAGCATCTCTTTTGCAGGATGTGGCTTTATGGGGATTTATTACGTCGGGGTGACGAGCTGTATCCTTGAACGTTTCCCTCGCTTCCTCCAAGAGGCCTCTAAGGTCTATGGAGCCTCGGCAGGGGCTCTGATGGCTGCTGTCGGCACTTTAGGAATCCCCCTGGGTGAGTTGGTCGTCTCCTCTTAACACTTATCGACCTCTTGTCCATGAAAATATAGCATCACGTTTGAAACCCCGCACGAGGTTCATGGAACAGCATCGATAATAACATTACTGCCTTAGGAGCTGAAGTTCAGATTTCATTCAGCAGGATACATATTGTTGTTTCCTGAACGTAAACAGTGTCTTTTAAACCAGAAAAATGATCATTTTTAAATGTTTCAGCGTTACTGAAAAAACAAAAACAACAACTTGTTACCAGTTATATCAGAAAGTGTTTATAGTTTGATTAATGAACTGTACAGGATGTGTAAATACAACAGAAATGTAAAACTTCCTGTCAGTGGGTCATTAAGGTCACCATGGTAACCAACAGTGTGTAATTAGAATCTCCTTGGTAACCACTGGTGGGTAATTAAAGTTGTCAATTTCATTTTTTTTTTTTTTTTTTTTTTTTTACGGGGCGGGCCTGGGAACAAGCTCCTGCACCTTGAGAGTAAACATCACGGCTCCAAAGCTTATCTTTACCTGTGTGTGTCACACGTCACCTGATTGGGAAGCAGAAAATCCATGAATTAGGAGGTTGTTTTGGGACGCTGCTGTGAAAAAAGCGATGTGCTAACTGGGAAAGCTTCTGCAGCTCACATTTCAACAGTGGATTGTGAAAGGACAGAAAAAGCTAGAAATGTGAATTCTTCCTGAAGTGAGTCTAGTCTATTTTGGTGTTTACATCGTCATAGAGCGCAATATTCTGTGACTCTTCAAAAAACATTAAAAATGCTCAAACTTTAGCAGTCAAGGGCTTTCTGATCAGTAAACGGCTGGCAGTTAATGAGTTAATGCTCCTAGTGTCCGTTTTTAATCAGTGTTGTAAAAGCATACCATTTTCTCCTCCCCTTGCTGTGTGCCCATGTTTTCAGTCCAGTCAACCACATATTAAAGTTATACTTACAAGCACTGTAGCATGCGTCCAGTTTGAATCCTTCTTTGTAGGGCTGGACGATAAAGAAAAAAGAATGTCGATAAAATCTTTTCATGTTGATCGATATTGATAATTATTGAAAAATATTTTTTAAATTGTAGAAAATATTTTACGTGCACCACTGGTCATTTTATTTTTGGTATTTTTATTTTTTCTCTGCCACAAACGACTATTTTAGTAGTCGACTAATCACCAGTTTTGTCGACTAATCGTGTCATTCATAAAAGTATAGCTTATTGCACCAGGATGCTCAAATATACCTATCATTAGCTTCTAGTCTGAAGTGTGATCAGCCATGTGCCATCTAATAATAAAGACAAGATGATAGCTTATCAAACAACCGTTACTTTGTAACCTGTTAATACAAATGCTACAGTCAAATGAAGGTAGGCACATAAAACCAAAAATAAATTGTGCACAAAAACGACTTGTGCTCACAAGAGGCATGGTGGCAAGGTTGAAGCGCTTCATCTTCCAGTCTCAACTCAGGAAATGGCGGGACACGCCAAGGTACGCCTCTGTAGCACGGCTGGTCCACAAGTCAGCAGTCAGGGACCATCGACAGCTCAGAGGGTCTGCTTTATCATAAAGATAAAAGATATTTAAGTTGGTTTATTTACCAGATTGATAATTCTGTCTACCGCAGCAGGCGAGAGTTGAACAATTTTTATTAAATTAGGTCTATTTTCTTTGTCATCGTCGTCGTGACGAGTCCACTAATCATGGCAGTCCTAGCCATCATGCTGCGGCTGCCTCGTGCTCTGTTTTGGCTTGAAAGGGGAGGGCCTGGTGACGCAGCGTGCCCGAGTCTGTGGTTTTGATTGGTTAGAAGTTAGTGAGTCTAGTATGCCACTACCTGATAGGTTATAATGAAAAAAAGAAACTTTTTTAATTGAAGTTTTATCGACCCGTTTTTTTTTCTTTCGCACCACATGTCTATCGATAGATATATTGAACTATTGAATTATCATCCAGCCCTACTTCTTTGTTTCTGAACTCTCGCCAATCAGAAAACTCTTTTCCAGTGTGGACTCTTGTTTGACCCCTCTAACTGTCAGCCAAGCATTTGTTTTTGCTTCACTGGATAAAGGTTTCCTTTGCTTCTTTGGAGGCTCCACCATGATGAACGCAGTACAATAAATGCCAGCCATCTCTAGCTTGTCTGTCCGTAGGTGTAAACATGGATTGCTTAAGTTCAGGCTACTCACAAAATGCATGACTTTGTTAAGACTTCAGGTCGCCGGTCCAGCAAGGCTCAAGTTGTAAATTCTGTAATCTTACCTGCAGAAAACATGTGGTAATTCATATGCTTGTGTTTGTGTTAAGAGTTTGTCATGCACAGACATTTTGTTGCTCTGTGCAGATAAATGCTGTGCTGATCTGATGCACATGGCCAAAGAGGCCAGGAAGCACAGTCTGGGGCCTCTTCACCCAGCTTACAATCTGCTACAGATCGTCCAGGACACACTGCTGGGGAGATTTCCAGAGGACGCCCACGTCCGAGCCTCTGGGAAGCTCTGTGTGTCCCTCACCAGAGTATCTGATGGGAAAAACCTACTGGTCTCACAGTTTGACAGCAGAGATGAGCTCATTCAGGTGTAGGCATGTTCATATCGTTGTTATACATTGTTGGTTTATGTTTTATCGATTTGTTAAAAGAGAGTTTAAGTTTGAGGATCAAACAAAATACTTTTGAGTTAGATAGAGTAATGCATCTGCTCTAAATTCAAACTCAAATCTCCCTTTTACATTTGAATTAATGAACTTAATAATGTTGATATGGGTGGGTTTTTTTCAGGCTCTTAAATGCAGCTGCTTTGTTCCCTTGTACTGTGGCGTCGTTCCACCGACCTACCGTGGAGAGGTGGGTGAACCATCAACACTTCCCTGTTGTGTTCTTGTTAGATGAGGTTTCTGCTACTCTTAGCATCATCATTTCCATCTAATCACTCCGCATCACAAACACTAACTTTCTACAATTTTACAATCCTGGTGGAGATCTTATCCAAGCTTAAAAAATTGTTATGCTGTTTAATATTAGAAAGAAACTAGAAGATTATTTAGTGATTTTTTTTCTTTTATTCTTCACAGTATTACGTGGATGGGGCTGTCAGCGACAACATGCCCCGCTGCAACCTGGGAAAAACAGTCACCGTCTCGCCTTACTCTGGTGAGAGTGATCTATGTCCCCGAGCGACCACGGTGAACTTCTATGAGGTGTGCTTCAACAACGTTAGCATCCAGGTCAACTTGGAGAATTTGTATAGAGTAACCAGCACTTTCTTCCCCCCTGAGGCAGAGGTGAGACACAAGAAGGACTTTATTTCTGACTGCAGGACACAATTTGGTCTGTTTTTAAATAGCCTTTGGTTTTTAGCATGTCTTTAATGTATCAGTGTTCCATATTGTTCAATTATTAATGTGGATCTGAGGATGTTCGCTCCAAAATGTGGGACCAATGTTTGCAAACATTCTATCTTTTTTAGTTTTAAGGCCAGAAAGCTGAACAACTAGCAGGCATTGATCATAGGACCTCAAAGACCTGCTGGGGACAAAAGGATGTAAAAGCTCTTTGACGTTTTTTGATGCTTGTGAATGTTGTCGTTCGCACCCATCCTTCTTGGGAGACTATGGTGTCGCTTCTTGTGAGTTTACCTGCACCGCCGAGAGTGGCTGTGCAGACTGACTTGGGAGTGGCAGTCGCTGCAGCACTTGGTGCAATAGAAGGCAAATGGCTGTTATAGCTGCTGTTGCCCCTGCTTCTACCTGGATCCTTTTTGGGTGGCATTCTCGTTGCACTCAACCTCTGCACAGAATGTACCCTGTCTGACTGCAAGTCTCTAGGCTAGGCGGTCATCTGCTTGACTTTCCCATGAGTTGGGGTTAATGGAGCACTGCTTCATGTCCTTCTTGCAGACATCTTTGAATCGCAGTTTTGGGTGCCCTGTTGTCATTTGGCCTTTGACCGGCTCGCTGTAGAGGAGGTTTTTGGGAGTACGGCCTGCGTCCATTCTCTTGACATTACAGAGCCACCTGAGCCGTCTCTCACTGAGAACTGCTTGCAAGCTGCTCATGTTGGCCAGCTGCACCACCTTGGTGTTGAGAACCCTATCCTGCCACTTGATCTGCAATATGCACCGCAGGCATCTCATGTGAATAGAAGTCCATCCATCCATCCATCCAACCATTTTCTGAAACTGCTTGTCAACGTAGGGTCAGGGGGGGGGGGGGGGGGGTCTGGTGGCTGGTGCCTATCTCCAGCGGTCAATGGGCAATCAGGCGGGGTACACCCTGGACAGAGAGCCAGTCCATCGCAGGGGTGAATAGAAGTCTAAAAACCTAAACCAGGTTCTTAATGTGGAACAGCAAAAACAGCAGAGTGACGTGTGTGTTTAAAAGTTCCATTAGTCATCATCACACACCCGTGAAATTACATCTCCTCATTTGACCCATCCCCATCCAGCAGTGGCTGCGCTCGGGAGCTATTTGGTGGTTTTACCCCCCAATCCAACCCCTTTAAGCTGAGTGTCAAGCAGGGAGGTATTGGGTCCCATTTTTACAGTCTTTGGCATGATCCGACTGGGATTTGAACCATGATCTCCCAGTCCCAGGGTGGACACTCTTCCACTAGGCCACTGAGATGAAGAAGAAAAGAGAGTAGATAGCTGAAACAGAAGGGGCACCAAAACAGAACCTTGTGGCACACCATGAGCAAGGGAGGGAAACCCTGTTTTTGTAATGGCCACAGGGGAGGATTACTCCAACAGAATTTCGTAAAGAACACTCGATATAACACAAGATATGGAACTGTTTCAAACTATTTAGCTGTAAGTTATAGACTAAACTGCATTTAAAACCACCTAAAAGTGTTAAAATCTAAAGTCATACAGACCCTTCTGAAAACTCCAAAGGGTTGATTGACCTGGATGACTGAGGAGCTTCACCACCTTCTGAAAACTCTACAGATCTTTTATAAAGAAACAGAAGTGGAAATTAAAGCAGACTGGCGATAAAACTACTATGGAGCTAAAAATGCTTAAAGTCATTGAGAACACATACTCTGAATTCAGGTTGTGTGAAATATTGTAAATACGTGAGATAAATCACAACATTTAAAAACTTTGATCAAGATTTGAAAGGCTAAATATGATATTAATGCATATTTAAAGTTGATAAGTTGTTTCAGCCTCCTTGGGTGACACTTTCAATAAACACAGTATCATTTTTTTACTCTGACAACTTTAATACTACAGATAAAACCAACTGAGTTTAAATTCCTTAATGGCTTCTAAAACCTACAGGCAATGGCTGAAATCTGTCATAATGGCTACATGGATGCTCTCCGTTTCTTGCAAGAAAACGGTAAGAATATTGTTTTGTTTTTTTTACGAAATCTGTTAAACACTCATGTAAACAGGTGAGTAGACGAGTGTTTAGCTAATCCATCAGAAGCACCCGACATATTGCAAACTCCACTATAGAAGCTGTTTGACCACAGAGAGCAGAGCTTCATATTCAAATCCCTATCATAGATCTGATCAGCAGTGAACTTCCACTGAGGAGTTTGGAGGCTGACGCATCTGAGCGTTGTTGTGAGCAGTCACCGGTACAGACAGAAATCAAGCAGCATCAGGAAGGTCACCAGTGGCTGAATCCAGAGCTCATAAAGAACCTCCCAATTACCATTCAGAGAGGTAAGGACAGCTACTGGTGCGTTTGTGATATGCAAAGGTAAAATGAAAGAAAACAAGAATCTACAGTTGACGTTAAATACTATCAGTTGTTAGAAGCAAATCAATGTGTTTATGTTTGTCAGTCTTGTGTACAGCCTGTAGAGAGACACACTCTGCTGATGGGCTGTTGACCCAAATGACCGAGTACCTGTCAAAGAAAGTGCCATCCTATCTGCCCTTTGAGTCAGCCTGCTTTCTAGCTCAGAGGTACAAACATGTTTTTATTCTCTTATTCTATTCTTACAAAAGCTGCAGATTAGAGAATAAAATCATTCTCAGTTTTAATTTACTGTTTATGTGTGAAGAACAGACATGGATACAATTATTGGTACCTTCCATTAAAGGAAGAAAAACTCACAATGGAAACTTGAATAACATGAACCCAGCAAAATCAATTATTACATTTTTACTAAAAGTCAACTGGTGACAATCAGACGTTTTTGAATTTTGGTTCAGCGGAAGCAAAATCCAAGCCAATGAAACTGTAACCTAATGTGACCGCAAGTGTGTCCAGTAATCAGCAACACAGGTGTCTTCTGTCTCATAATCAGTCAGTCTGCATGAAAATAAAAATAATACTGGTGTGTACCACACTAGACATGGATCCATTTTTATTATTTATTGATTCATTTAACATTTTCCTCCTTGGAAACCCAATTCACACTTCTGACAAGCTGGTGGCAGTTATGCACCACTAATTTCTTTGCCAACTGCTAATACACACCACAAGAAGTAGAAGGACGTGGACCTCAGAAAGCTAAGAGCAGAGATGTCTCAGTAGATTATAAAGAACGTTATTTACCAGAATGTTAAAAAGAAAGGCTGGAAGACCATCCCCAAGCAGTTAAAGGCTGGAAGACCATCCCCAAGCAGTTAAAGGCTAGAAGACCATCCCCAAGCAGTTAAAGGGTGGAAGACCATCCCCAAGCAGTTAAAGGCTAGAAGACCATCTCCAAGCAGTTAAAGGCTAGAAGACCATCCCCAAGCAGTTAAAGGGTGGAAGACCATCCCCAAGCAGTTAAAGGCTAGAAGACCATCTCCAAGCAGTTAAAGGCTAGAAGACCATCCCCAAGCAGTTAAAGGCTAGAAGACCATCCCCAAGCAGTTAAAGGCTAGAAGACCATCCCCAAGCAGTTAAAGACTAGAAGACCATCCCCAAGCAGTTAAAGGCTAGAAGACCATCTCCAAGCAGTTAAAGGCTAGAAGACCATCCCCAAGCAGTTAAAGACTAGAAGACCATCTCCAAGCAGTTAAAGGCTAGAAGACCATCCCCAAGCAGTTAAAGACTAGAAGACCATCTCCAAGCAGTTAAAGGCTAGAAGACCATGTCCAAGCAATTAAAGGCTAGAAGACCATCTCCAAGCAGTTAAAGGCTTGAAGACCATGTCCAAGCAGTTAAAGGCTAGAAGACCATGTCCAAGCAGTTAAAGGCTAGAAGACCATCTCCAAGCAGTTAAAGGCTGGAAGACCATCTCCAAGCAGTTAAAGGCTAGAAGACCATCCCCAAGCAGTTAAAGGCTAGAAAACTTAAATCTAGAAGATCATCTCTTATTAGCTAAAGGCTCTCTTATTAGTTTAAGGCTAGAAGACCATGTCCAAGCAGTTAAAGGCTAGAAGACTACGTCCAAGCAGTTAAAGGCTAGAAAACTTAAATCTAGAAGATCATCCCTTATTAGCTAAAGGCTCTCTTATTAGCTAAAGGCTAGAAGACTATGTCCAAGCAGTTAAAGGCTAGAAGACCATCCCCAAGCAGTTAAAGTCTAGAAGACCATGTCCAAGCTGTTAAAGGCTAGAAGACCATGTGCAAGCAGTTAAAGGCTAGAAGACCATCTCCAAGCAGTTAAAGGGTGGAAGACCATCTCCAAGCAGTTAAAGGCTAGAAGACCATCTCCAAGCAGTTAAAGACCATCTCCAAGCAGTTAAAGGCTAGAAGACCATCCCCAAGCAGTTAAAGGCTAGAAGACCATGTCCAAGCAGTTAAAGGCTAGAAGACCATCTCCAAGCAGTTAAAGGGTGGAAGACCATCTCCAAGCAGTTAAAGGCTAGAAGACCATCTCCAAGCAGTTAAAGGCTAGAAAACTTAAATCTAGAATATCATCTCTTATTAGCTAAAGGCTCTCTTATTAGCTAAATACTAGAAGACTATGTCCAAGCAGTTAAAGGCTAGAAGACCATGTCCAAGCAGTTAAAGGCTAGAAGACCATCTCCAAGCAGTTAAAGGCTAGAAGACCATCCCCAAGCAGTTAAAGGCTAGAAGACCATCTCCAAGCAGTTAAATGCTAGAAAACTTAAATCTAGAAGATCATCTCATATTAGCTAAAGGCTTGTAGACTATGTCCCAGCAGTTAAAGGCTAGAAGATCATCCCCAAGCAGTTAAAGGCTAGAAGACCGTCTCCAAGCAGTTAAAGGCTAGAAGGCCATCCCCAAGCAGTTAAAGGCTAGAAGACCATGTCCAAGCAGTTAAAGGCTAGAAGACCATCTCCAAGCAGTTAAAGGCTGGAAGACCATCTCCTAGCAGTTAAAGGCTAGAAGACCATCCCCAAGCAGTTAAAGGCTAGAAGACCATGCCCAAGCTGTTAAAGGCTAGAAGACCATCTCCAAGCAGTTAAAGGCTGGAAGACCATCTCCAAGCAGTTAAAGGCTAGAAGACCATCCCCAAGCAGTTAAAGGCTAGAAGACCATGTCCAAGCAGTTAAAGGCTAGAAGACCATCTCCAAGCAGTTAAAGGCTAGAAGACCATCTCCAAGCAGTTAAAGGCTAGAAGACCATCCCCAAGCAGTTAAAGGCTAGAAAACTTAAATCTAGAAGATCATCTCTTATTAGCTAAAGGCTCTCTTATTAGTTTAAGGCTAGAAGACTATGTCCAAGCAGTTAAAGGCTAGAAGACTACGTCCAAGCAGTTAAAGGCTAGAAAACTTAAATCTAGAAGATCATCCCTTATTAGCTAAAGGCTCTCTTATTAGCTAAAGGCTAGAAGACTATGTCCAAGCAGTTAAAGGCTAGAAGACCATCCCCAAGCAGTTAAAGGCTAGAAGACCATGTCCAAGCAGTTAAAGGCTAGAAGATAATCTCTTATTAGCTAAAGGCTAGAAGGCTATGTCCAAGCAGTTAAAGGCTAGAAGACCATCCCCAAGCAGTTAAAGGCTGGAAGACCATCTCCAAGCAGTTAAAGGCTAGAAGACCATGTCCAAGCAGTTAAAGGCTAGAAGACCATCTCCAAGCAGTTAAAGGCTGGAAGACCATCTCCAAGCAGTTAAAGGCTAGAAGACCATCTCCAAGCAGTTAAAGGCTAGAAAACTTAAATCTAGAAGATCATCTCTTATTTGCTAAAGGCTCTCTTATTAGCTAAAGACTAGAAGACTATGTCCAAGCAGTTAAAGGCTAGAAGACCATCCCCAAGCAGTTAAAGGCTAGAAGACCATCCCCAAGCAGTTAAAGGCTAGAAGACCGTCCCCAAGCAGTTAAAGGCTAGAAAACTTAAATCCAGAAGATCATCTCATATTAGCTAAAGGCTAGTAGACTATTTCCCAGCAGTTAAAGGCTAGAAGACCATCCCCAAGCAGTTAAAGGCTAGAAGACCGTCTCCAAGCAGTTAAAGGCTAGAAGAATTAAGTCTAGAGGATCATCTTTTATTAGCTAAAGGCTAGAAGACTATGTCCAGGCAGCGTAAAGCTAACAGACCATCTTCAGTCAACCAAAGGCTAGAAGACCATCTGCAATCAGTTAAAGGCTAGAGGACTATTTCCAGTCCGCTTAAGATTAGAAGATTATCTAATCTAAACTAGACCTGGTCTGCTTCATCTGGACCAGAGAGTCCTGAATCTGTTCAGAAAGACTATCAAGACCGTCTTGCGCCATATTTGCTCTGCAGTGTCAGAAACCTTGGTCTCAGTCTCTGGTCATTGGTCCTCCAGCAGAATGAGCTAAAACACAGCTAGAAACACCAAGGATGGATCAGAAACAAACACTGGACTCTTCTGAAGTGACCCTCTATGAATCCTGCTTTAGATCTTGTTGAACATCTGAGGAAGTAACTGAAACTTTTGCAGAAGGAACCCTTCAGACCTGAGACAGCTGAAGCTGTTTGCTCATGAGTGGGCCAGAACACCTGTGGATAGGTGAGATGTCTCACCTCAAAAGGTTGGGCAACTAAATTAATCATTAAGTTGCGGGCTGCATCATTTTTTTTCTAGACCAGTTTGATTTGTTTAACTTTTATTATTTTTGGAAGGCTACCAACAATTTTATCCATATCAGTGTCCGTAGATTTATTAATTAATTGATCACAGTTTTTCTCCACTGGCTTGGCTCATTTCTTGAAATAGAAATTACATTCTCAAAATAGCATGGACAAACCTCCAAACCTCTTGGCAAATGTTCACTACAGAATGGCATTTCTCATTCATTTTATCAAATTGCAAATGCCTTAGTACATGTCTCAGTTGTCTCAGTGCTTCTTTGCAAATGATTAAGTACAGGTAGCCTAGTTAGCCCACATTTAGCACATTTTCCAAATGAACAGTTGATTCTCAGTGTAATGATCGCTCTCTCCAAAACATGTCAGCATGATTTCATTGTATATATGTAAGTACTCGCATGCACAACTGTCTGTTCAATTGTCAGAATTGGTCAAGAACATAATACCATGAATACCATATATGAATTTATTTGAATATTTTATACATTGATGACAGTCACTGATAGTCAGGTGAAACTAGACTAACGAACGGGGAGTGTCACACACAGGTGTTTTCCATGATCGTGTGTTGCCAAACACAGATATATATAGAGCTTGACCAGCACCAGTCCAATCTCTGAACATGGATAGACAAGGCCAAGCAAACGGACAAGGGGAAGTTCTTCCTCAAGGAAGAGGAGGAAGAAGAAGAGGAGGACTGAGAATGCGTGGTGGAGGAATAGGGCAAGAGGCAGAGGAGCATCCAAGGATGGTCATGGAGTTCCTACCATCTTACTCTCCTTTCCTCACTCCGATAGAGGAGTTTTTCTCTGCATGGAGGATGAGAGTGTATGAGCATCATGCTCAGGATCAGCGTGACAACATTACAGGAGATCAATGCAGGGGATGGTTGCGACCTGCACGCCGTTTTTCCCCTCGTTGCATCGCAAGAGATGGTATCTGCTGTGATGTGGACGAGAATCTGGCCAGACGGACAACAGCGTGTAAATAATCAGGAGGGTGAAGACAGTGGACAAGAGTGGGAGAATGAGTACAGCGACCACTGAATATGTCCTTGTTTTTTTTTATTTTGTGTTCATACAATTTACTGTATTACTGTAATGTACATTTTCTTTTTACATATGTATGAAACTTTCTTTGCATGTGAATAATTTTTTTTTTATAATTTCCTTGGTAGTGTGAGTGCAAGCTGTGATGTCAAACCTTGGAGGCTACTCTTTTTGGTTGTATATTGTTGGTCCTCTGCCATAGTGACAAAAAGTCTAAACATTTTGTATGGCAGTACTCACACAATGCCAAAGGGATGATGCATTTTGGGGGCACTGACTATTCATACCATACCATACCATACCACCTTTATTTATATAGCATAAAAACACAGCCATATGGCTGACCAAAGTGCTGAACAGTCGCACAATAATAGAGATAAAAAAAACAGCCAACAATAAAAAAAGACAAGCCGACAAAAAAAAGTACCAATAAAACCAATGAAACCTTACAATGGACGATAAAATAAGAGTAGTAAAAGCCAAACTAACAGCTAACTGTTAAAAGCAAGGGTAAAATAGTGTGTCTTTAGACTTAAAATCTGCCAAGGTGGATGCCAGTCGAACTGTGACTGGAAGTTCGTTCCACAGTTTAGGACCGGCGACAGAGAAAGCTCTTTGTCCGCATGATTTGTAACACGCTTTCGGGACCTCGAGGAGCAACAGGCTGGAGGTCCTGAGTGTGCGACCGGGAGCATAAATTGAAAGGTCAGATAAGTACACGGGAGCAAGACCATGGAGGGATTTGAAAACAAAAAGTAACATTTTATATTGGACCCTGAAAGTGATGGGCAACCAATGAAGGGATTTGAGAACTGGTGTTATATGCTGGCGCCTGTCAATACGTGTTAGGAATCTAGCAGCTGCGTTTTGAACGAGTTGAAGTCGGGCAAGGGTTAACTTATTGACACCCAGCAAAACTGCATTTGAGTAGTCGAGCCTAGATGTGATGAAGGCATGAACAACTGATTCCAATTTTTTTCTAGATAAAACGGCTCTTAATTTGGACAGATGGTGGAGTTGGAAAAAACAAGATTTTACAGTGGCATTGACCTGGGCGTCCATCCTTAGAGATGAATCCATCTTCACACCCAGGTGTGTCACAACGGTTTTTAGATTTTGAGAAACAGCTGAACGATCTGGGGTTTGGAATGAGCTAGATCTGACCGGATTAAACAGGATCAGTTCAGACTTGGAATCATTGAGATGCAGAAAATTTGTGGCCAGCCAACATTTCTAATCACGTAGGTAGTCTAGAAGAGGCTGGATGGATTGCTGGGGTTTCACCGACATGTAAATCTGACAGTCGTCAGCATATAAGTGATATTGAACACAGTGTTTTTTTAGAATTAAGCTGAGGGGAAGGAGGTAAAGACAAAACAACAAAGGCCCCAGAATAGATCCCTGCGGGACCCCACACAAGAGAGGAGCAGAGCGAGATGAGATGCTGTTCAACACCACCCGTTGGGACCTGTTAGATATATAAGACCTAAACCAAGTTAGGGCTGGACCACGTATTGCAGCAATCTCCTCTAAGCGTAATAAAAGGATGTCGTGGTCGATGGTGTCAAAGGCGGCAGACAGATCGAGAAGAAATAACACAGCATAGGAGCCAGAATCAGTTGCCATAAAAATGTCATTGAAGACACAGAGGAGAGAGGACTCAGTGCTGTGCAGGGGTCGAAAACCTGACTGAAAGACATCCATTATGTTATGATCGGCTAGATGATAGACAACCTTCTCCAGAATTTTTGCCAGAAATGGAAGCTTGGAAATAGGGCGATAATTAGAAAGAACCGATGCATCAAGGCCTGGTTTCTTTAGAAGCGGCTGAACCACAGCATGTTTGAAGACAGGGGGTACAACACTGGAAATAAGACTGGTATTGTTAAAGTGTAGGATATAATGACCTATAGCTGGGAACACCTCTTTCAGGAGGCGCAGAGGAAGGATGTCGTCTGGGGAACCAGATGGTTTCATCGACAGAAGCAAAGATTGCAGGCATGGAAGGGAAATAGGTTCAAAGCTGAGGAAGGGTGCTGTATTAAAGGTTAAAGAGCAAGTCACCCCCAAATAAACTTTTTTTTGCTGATAAACTAAATAAATGAGTGTCTAATCGTGCTACAGACACGTGTCGTCAATAATTTGGCACTTCAGTGCATCTTAGTTAAAATTTAAATATTCTGCCTAAAACTGGCAATGTTGTGCCGTTGTCAGGTAAAAACTCTGCACTGTATTCTAATTTAAATCTGCCACCGCTATTGGCTAAGAGGTATGCTATGATGTAAACTGGTACATTATGATGTCACAATACTGTGGTGAGCCTGTGTGTGTGTATTTGTTAGCAGCTCCGCCTTCTCGGTCTGCTAGGCAACAGCATGTGTTGCATTTTTCAAACATGAAGTGGGAGTGGAGTTAGTCTCTGGTAGGGGTTGACTTGCTCTTTAAGGTAGGAAGGGTGTGCAGAGGGAGTGATAAGCTAGCCCTGATAGTGGAAACCTTATCAGAAAAGAAATCTAGAAACTGATCCGGGAGATTTGGTGCAATAACTGAGCAGTTGGACTCATGAGGAACGAGAACCGAATTAATAGTTTTGTAAAGAACTTTTTGATTGGACCAGTTTGCAGAAATAATTTTAGAAAAGTAATAGCTTCTGGCATGCATAACTGCTTGTTGATATTTGGACCAGAGGTTTTGCAAAATCTGATATGAAATCTGGAGGTGGTCTTTTTTCCATTTGTGCTCAGCCTGTCTACAAAGTTTTCTCAAACTTCGAGTATGAGAGTTGAGCCCAGGGTCAGATTTATGTTTGGAGTGAGCAGGTTTCAGAGGAGCAACAGAATTTAAGACCGTAAGACATTTATCATCAAAAAAAGCAATTTGATCATCCAGGCAAAGCTGACTAGGCAGATCAGACACAGAAAAAGCACTGACAAAATATATTCACATTAGAAAGAAATGTAGTTTTGACACATGAGTGAACTGTTTTAGGAGAGAGATGAGCTTTTGCAGGTAAACCATGTTGTTGTGATCAACCATCCAGGTTTATTTGGACAAAAGCACCAAGAATGATGAGAATGTCCGATCTGTTTCGAGAAATGAGCCAAAGCTATTGAGAAGGATCTTTGCCATTTTGGAGACACTGACTGTTTAAATGAGAAAGGGATTTAGATTGAAGCCTGAGTGAACAGCTTTGGAAGGGATATGAGCTTTTGCAGGTGAACTATAGTGTTGTGCAAATGATCTTAGAGGTTTGAGAATGTAATTTCTGTTTCAAGGAATGAGCCAAACCAATGGAGAAAAACTGTAATAAATGAATTGATATGTTTTTTTAAAATTTCATTAAAGAAGTGGTTTTGTCCTTTCAGAGTTAAGGACTGGATTCCAGATGTGCCCCGAGATGTGAGCCGGATATTTGGTTCAACAGAAGGCAAACAAACTTTAAAGGAAAAGGTAGAAGGTAGTAAAAGGTAGAAAACATGTTTCTGTAGCTCTTCAGTAATGCTTTACTGTTCCTTCAGACATGACTACTTATCTCTAACAACAGATAAGACAGATTAGGTTCAGAGATACAGTATCTTCTCCTGGACTAAAGGGGGATAACTTTGACCTGATCTTTGGACTAGATTGTGTTTTTGAATGAAAATGGTGTGTACTGTGATCCACACCATCTATTGTCTCACACCAAACAGGAACAATTTAGTGTTAGATATCATAAGATAGTTAATTCTGGACAAAAGCTTCACACTCGATGACCATTTAGCCTCTCTTAAACTGGTAGAAATGTTAGAGTCATCAAACTGCTTTGTCCCATTTCAGTCGGCCTCTTCTGCACAGAAGCACAAGCCTTCCATCAGACCTGAACCTGTGCCATCCAACACATGATGTCAAACGCTTTTGCACTAAGTTCAGAGGCCAGCCCCACCTGGAACCCTGATAGCATGATGCCACCTTCAGCCACAGCACCCGCCATGAGCTCTGGATCTGATGAAGCCAGTGTGGAGTCTGCTCCAAGTGCAGGTGGAGGGTCGGGTTTAGGCAGAGCGCTGGATTTCCTTAGAAACTTTGGGTCTGAGCAAAGTTCAGACACCAGATAAATATCTAATTCATTCTCTTTGTCTGGACTCAAGGAAAAATGTTTTAATGTTGCATTTGAGAAGAAGTATTGAATAAATGAATGTATGAGATTGTTACTGTCCAAGAACATATGAGAAACTGACCTGTGTTCAGTCATTGTTTTCTAAGTTGAACTGTGTTGCTGGGATTCTTGTCTGCGCCAATCTTGAAAACTGATGTTTTCATCTGACTTTGAGTGATCGCTTCTTCTGCTGCACCTTCTGCTCTGTATCTACTCAGTTTCTAACTTTGTATTTCCTATTTTAAAGCCATACTTTGCAACTTTTTCATATTGTCATTTTCTTGAGCCAGTAAGTGCTAAAATGACCCTTTACATGGTTATTGAGATGTCACTCAGACCCCCACCGCCCTCTGGCAAGAATACCGCATTTGCAACTTCAGACTGGCTGCCTCTCCCTGTTGGATAGAAGGCATACCTGGCACTGCAGTCTGCATCCAGCACGTTTCATGCATGTTTTAGATCATGAACACAGCTGATTTGTTTAATTCGGTGATAAGTTGCTCCTCTAGACACTAAAGCCGGGCGTACACTGTGCGACTTTTTCACTTTTTTGAGCCGATCTTCTACTCGTGCGAGAATCCACAAGATCGGGGGGGTTACGAGAGGCGATTAACACCACGTGACCAGCTACCGATCAGCAATTGTGAGCTTATACGGACTTCTGGCGTGTTTGATATTTTGCTCGTCCCTCGTGAGAGTATCGCACTGATGAAGCGGCGCTGCAAGCAGCTGCGACCCAAAAAGTATCAGAACCGCTCACGGCGCATGCGCAATCCTGCATCAACATCACTCGCCCGCTATTTCCCTAATAACACACGTTGTTCGTTTTTATTTCTACACGTTTTTTTTACTCAAAAAGATTGTCAAGAAAGCGTGTTTGTTGTGTTCATGTCAAATTAAACTGATCACAAAACACAGATTTACTTTCTTTATTTCATTTTCCTCATCCAACCCCCATAAATCCCCGTGTGTCCTCCTGCAGCACTCCCGAAGGACAACAGGCAAAACAAAAAAAGTCTGACGTGTTGTGTAAAAACAGCACATTTTTAGGGCCGACATGTTGCTACCAGACGTACAGTGTGAGCAGTCAGATCGTGTCCGAGAACTGGGTCGTACAGTGTGAGCGCATGACTCGTGAGATCTGCCCTGCGAGGAAGTCGTACAGTTTGAGCTGAAGCTGAGTGCTATGAGTGGAAAAAGTCGCACAGTGTCCACCCAGCTTAAGGAAAGCTGGGGAGATATTTCAGATGTTAGATTAAGGTGTTAAAAGAAGAACACACAGTGAGGAGATAAAATTTTTGTTTTTACCACAGAGAGTTAATAATAGACACATGGGGGTGCTAAAAGCAAGCAAAACTGCCAAGTCTGTCTTAAAATTAAATTTTATTTGTGTATTTTAAATTAGATTTTGAGATAAACTGTTTTATGTTTTCACAGTTTTTTCTTGTATCTGGAAAGCACACTGCCTATTTGTATGAAATGTGTTTTATAAATGAAACTGCCTTGGCCAATCTAACTTACTCAATAAAGAGTGGGGGTTGAACATGAATGTCATTTATTGAGGAGTAAGAGGCATGGTCACTCCTTGAGAGTTGTTGGTCACCCCACTGGCCCCCCAACGAAGACCAACCTCACCCCCTTAATCACATTCATGTCCATATTTTTTAATCATCATAAATTTTAAAGCCAATAAATGAATGTATTTAAATTAAATAGTAATGAATCACTTTTTAATAAATCACAGTTTAAATATATCTATATGTCACTGATGTTTTTGTTGAGACATTTGTCTTTTTTCTGAAATGTTTGTTTCTTAAGTCTGAGTTGAAACTGCAATGGCAAATCTGCAAAACAAACTAGCCTAAAACAGCTGCTACTACTTCAACTTTGGAACAAACTACCAGAGTCCCAAAAAGAAAAACACCATTTGAAGTCACAAACAACAAAAGATATCTAGACCTAGTAAACTGGTGTTTAGCACTCTCTCGTTTCCTCTGTCAATGTTGGTTCCACTTCTGGTGGATGTGGCCTGGAGTTGAGTATGATACTCTATGTGTTAGCATTTAAAAGCTAACTTGTATAGATTTGCTATCGTAGCTTTAAATGTGTTGGGTGCATAGGCTTATTGTTAAAAAAAATGAAGGAGCAATACGCAACTTCAGGCTAAACTCTCCCAGAGTTATCACAAGGACAAATTTGGTGTGCCACCCAAATATTTTACAGGGCCCCTCTTTGAAAATTTTTTGGAGACGCCCCTGGAAATGTGCTGTTAAAGAGCTCCAATAAAAGCTCCTTTCACTAAACATTCTGCAACAAAATAATCAATAGTTGGAAAATCTGTACAATTGAAACATTATCTTACATTATTGATTACATTAATCTTAAACCTCCTTAAATACATTAATTGTAACAGATGGAAAAAGGGAGATCATCCATCAATCATGATTTTCCTAGATCTCCCAGTCCTCAAAGACACTCTCCAGCTTCGCCAAAGACATTCCAAGGTCAGATAGGATTTACAATTCCTTCAGCAAGTTCTCTGGCTCCAAAAGGGTCTCCTTCCAGTTGGATGAAAAATATAAGCAGATAACCAAACTACCTCAGTTGACTACGTTTGATTGGGATAAGCAGCGATTGTGAGTTCCTCACCCCTTTCTCAATGCATATAAAATAAATTTCATAGCAGTTACACATTAAATCAAATTACAGTAAGTTGCAAAACAATATTGATCTCTTAACCCCAACCCTAGCTCAGAAGTACATAAGAAGTTATAATTTTATCTTTAGAAGGTTTTTAAATTGAGCATTTTTTTCAAACCTTGTCCAAACTGTGTCACTGTTTTACTCCATCCATACACTTCCTTTAAGATGGTATGTACCATTGTACTTTTGGTTTGATCTTCAAACAATAAACATCTGCAAGTTAACTGGCAGTAATCACTTTCGCTTTAGACAATAAAAAATCTTTTAATTGATCAAGAACCTTAATTTTGAAGCATTTGTGTACAATAGATTCACAAATCACCACAATTGACACATACTGATAAGCAATGTCCACAAACAAAACATGAAAGTTCTAAATGTTAACAAATAAAACATCTGACCACTATTTTTATTAAATGGATGGTAACTGTATGAGCTAAGGCAGATTCTGCTGCCCCCTGGTGGCCAATACAGAGAACCTCAAAGTTCAGCGTCGTGAAGAGACATGAATGGAACAAAAAGTGTTTTAATTGTCACGTGTCGTTAAAGGTAACTCTATATATTATTATTGAAGAAAAAAGTGATCACAAGCACGAATAAATAACTTTAACCAGAAAATCCAACTCCTGATAATCCAAAACAATCTACCTATATAGGGAGCCTAATAAAAAATACTGTGAGGGAATGCTTTTGTTTATTACACGCAGTCCATTATAATCAGCCCTAAGCCAATCAGAATGTTCATAGTTGGGTGTAGATGCTCATAGTCCGCTCTTCCTCCCACACAGCATAACCTCACATGTCAATCAGCCGGTTTAATTGTAAATTGTGCAACATCAGCTGAAGCACTGCCCATGTGTGTATTGGCAATGGGACAGCCAATACAGGAAAGCATCTACAACAGCTGGACCGGGATAGATTCATGAAAAGATACGAGTATCAGAGACTGAGTTCATAGGTTCACAGGCCTGAGGAGAATGATGGACCGAGGCGAGGAGTGGAACATCTCTTTTGCAGGCTGTGGATTTAGGAGCATCTACTACGTTGGAGCTTTGAGCTGTATCCTGGAGAGGGTCCCACAGCTGGTTCATGGTGCATCTAAAATTGGCGGAGCTTCTTCTGGGTGTCTCGTAGCAGCAGCTCTGGCTGTAGGGATTCCCATCGGTGAGTTACTAAATCACCCCATTTTCTTCTTAATCTGTGAACAAGTCCTATACTTTACTTTCTCTGCTCCTTTCCTAATGTAAATAAATATGTTTGTTCTGCTTCTTACTGGGACTTAGTTGTCTATTCATAAAGGTCAGGGCTATGTCATCTAGGCACAGGTGCTTTGATCGACACTTGGAGTAGACGTCAAACACTGCAGGGTCACTGACACGCTAAATTCATGTAACAGAGAGGGAGCAAACTCCATAGTTCACATCATATTTAAAAACAGCACAAGAGAAAAACATCAGCTAACACTGGCAGCTTGTGAAATAACGTTAAAATAAACAGGTGTTTGACTGATCGGGGTATGACAACAAATTAGGGTGATGAAAGGAACTTCAACCAGGAATGTTCACAGCACCAAGAATTATTCCTGAAAAGCAAAGATATTACCTCCCTGTTGTTTCCCAATCAGAAAAGCTGTGTTTAAATATTTTAATCATGGCGAAGGAGGCCAGAAGTCACATCCTAGGAGTTTTCCACCCAACCTTCAGTCTACTGAGAGCAGTACAGCTCATTCTGCGGGAGATGCTCCCAGAAGATGCTCACCTCCGAGCTACTGGAAAGCTCTGCGTGTCCCTCACCAGACTGTCTGATGGAGAGAATGTCCTGGTGTCGGAGTTCACCACCAGAGAGGAACTCATTCAGGTAAGAACTGTTGGTTTGATCAGGACCTGTGGCTCAGATCTATAAAATTCTAATAGTTTATCAGCTTCATGTATTTTTTGCAGGTTCTGATGTGCAGCAGCTTTTTCCCTGTCTACTGTGGCTTCGTCCCTCCTTCATACCGAGGAGTTGTGAGTACAGAGCTGGGAAAAGCATTTTGCCTTTCTACAGATTTCTTTTGTTTTGACTTTGCTAATCTGAAACTTTTAAATGCATGGGCTGCATGGTGGCGCAGTGGTTAGCACTGTTGCCTTGCAGCACGAAGGTTGCAGGTTCGAAACTCGGCTGCGGCCTTTCTGCGTGGAGTTGCGTGTTCTCCCCATGCATGTGTGGGTTTCCTCCGGGTACTCCGGTTTCCCCCACAGATCACAACATGCCCTATAGGTTATAAATTGTAAGTCGCTTTGGATAAAAGTGTCTGCCAAATAAATAAACATAAACATAAATGACAAAAGCCAAACCATAAGAAATCAGCAGGGGCAAACATGTTTCATGTTACTACATGAAATCTAAATGCTAAAAATGACTGCTGTATTTTTAAAATAAGAAAACAAAATCAGAATGTCCTTTAAAACTAAAATCTACGTGTGGTGTACCCTTTTGTATAACACAGAAGGAAGCACCATAAAAGATATGAGGTAATAAATCAGGAATGGGAGAAAAAAGCTCCCAGATTCTCAGTTGTTGAATCTTCATCTTCATAATCTCCATTCTTTGTCTCCCGTCTCTCTTTAGCTCTACATGGACGGAGCCCTGAGCAACAACATGCCCCTGTTTGAGCTCAGAAACACCATCACCATGGCCCCATTCTCAGGTGAGAGCGACATCTGTCCCAAGGAAGGGACTTTCAACTTCTTCGAGGCCAACTACGGTAACGTTAGCATACAGGTCAACACTGGAAATGTCCACCGAGTGTGTACATCCTTCCTGCCTCCTAAACCGGAGGTGAGACCTTGTCCAGACTTTTGTTGGTACTGTTTAAAGAATATATTTAAGTGAGATTTTCTTTTGGGTGGGAGAGCAGAAGCTGGCTGAGATCTGCCACAATGGTTACATGGATGCTCTTCGTTTCTTGAAAGAAAGAGGTGCGCACACCCACCTCCACGTTCCTCAGCACTAAAGCTCGCCATTGGTCTGCCGATGACTCCATTTGACTCTACTTCTATTAGATCTGCTTGGTGTGGACAGGGATCCCCACAGTGCTCTACTGGGAGACAAACCTCCTTGTGAATCTGTGGAAAAATGGAGGAAAAGGAGGAAGATGCTGAATAGTGGAAGAAGTTCTCAATGGGAGGAACATCAGTGGGTTGACCACAGAGTCATAGAAAGCCTCCCAGTGGGTATTAAGAAGGGTAAGATGTAACCAACGTACTGTGCTTTCATCGGGGATGTTATGGTTGGGGATTTTAATGATATATATGATTGTGGAATGATTATATGATATAAAGCTTGAATGAGTTTAAAAAATAACATCCTGGTTCACTCAGGGTGAATACGTACAGTCACCCAAATCTATGAAGTCAGCCTGAAGGGTCTAAAATGTTTTTAAAATTGACAGACCCAAGGCTAATTAACTTCTCGTTAGCGATCGTGACTTACTGCTGCTGTTGTGAGTTCCTCTTTGATGTAAATTTACACAACTCAAGTTGCCCATAGATCCACAGTATCACGTGGACACCAGGGGCAGTTCCACTGGACTGGCAGACCGGGGTGGTGGTCCGCCTGTTTAAAAAGGGGGCCGCAGGATGTGCTCCAACTGCAGGGGGATCACACTCCTGAGCCTCCCTGGTAAAGTCTATTCAGGGGTTCTGGAGTGGAGGATCCATCGGATTGTCGAACCTCAGATTCAGGAGGAGCATTGTGGTTTTCTTTCAGGCCGTTTAACACTGGACCAGCTCTATACCCTTAGGGGGGCCTGGAGGGAGCGTGGGAGTTCGACCAATCTACATGTGTTTTGTGGATTTGAAGAATGCGTTCGACCGTGTCGCTCGGGGTCCCTGTGGGGGTTTACTCCGATCTACATTCCTACCCTCATCCATGGTCACGAGCTTTGGGTAGTGACCGAAAGAACGAATACAAGCAGTTAGAAGCAGCCAAAATGAGTTATTTGTACAGGGCATCTGATCTCTTCCCTAGAGATAGGGCGAGAAGCTCAGTCACCCAGAAGAGGCTCGGAGCAGACCCAATGCTCCTCCACATCGAGAGCACCAGTTATTCAGATGTCACCGTTTTTGCCAAAATCTGGAAGGGCCAAGCTGTCAATCAGTCAGGTGTCCAAAAACCAAGAAGTTCATTTCTCTTTGGGTGTGTGTCTGTGTTAGTGCTCTGCGAGGTGTGCAGACAGAGCTATGATGCTGGCGGCTGGGGTTTTTCACTCACCAACATCCTTCCTGTGAAGTTGCAGACCCTTCTCTTCCTTCCCGTAAACATCAGCCTCCGTCTCTTTAAAAGGTGAGGCAGAGCAGAGCTGTCAAAGTGAAGGGATTATAATTCTAATTTAATGGTTTTGATATTTTGACCTTTTCAGGCTGAGGCATGAACTACAACTCTTAATGGTTACAGCAGGTCCATGAAACCACACATGCAGCATCAAGGATTACAGCAGCAGGTTTGTCTGAGAGCTATTTCAATGCTTCACACTATTGCGACACAGTTTTCTGATGAAATGTTCTTCTGCTTTTATCTTTTCTTTTTTCTAATGTGCCATGGCACCATAACCACATCCCAGTGAGCTGCCAGAAGGAAACATAAACCTTTGATCCCATCAATCAACAAAATAATAAAATCAATCTCGCTCTGGATGATGTGCACCTTTGCTCACTCGTTGTCCCTGCATGTGGAAAAGTGCCATTAGACACCGCCTATAAAAACTGCCTCTATCTTTAAATATGATTATAAATGTATTTCTAGTTACATCAGACTGTAGCCTCATATTTGTAAAATCAATAGACAGTTTTGGTTTGCTAGTGTTCGGTGTAGATGTTTATCCAACGATTAGAAGAAAATTATTTTATATAGCGCCTCTCAAGATAAAAATCATGAGGTGCTTCACATAAACACAAATAAAAAATAAACAAAAATGATTAGGAAATTATTTCAAAATATATACATGAAAATTTTTTAAAATGTGATTTTAAAAAAGTGAGGAAAGAGAAAATGAATAAGAAAGAGGAAATCAGTGGATCCCAGGAAGGGCAGAATAGGTGAAAAAAAATGAGATGGTGACGAAGGTCACACCAAAGCCAGCTTGAACGGCTGAGTCTTCAGCTGCTTCTTAAAGGAGACCACTGAGTCCACTGATCTCAGGCTCAGGGCGAGAGAGTTCCAGAGTCTGGGGGCCACAGCAGCAAATGATCTGTCACCTTTGGTCTTTAGCCTGGTGCTGCACAACCAGTAGGCTTTGATCACTGGACCTCAGGGACCTGCTGGGGGTGTAGGGACTGAGATGATCACCAATGTAAGATGGTGACACGCCAAATTGGTCCTTGTGGTAACTCTGGGAGAGTTTAGCCAGTGGTGATGTATTGCATTGCTCCTTTATTGATTTTATTTAAAAAATGTAATATATATATATATATATATATATATATATATATATATATATATATATATATATAGTATGTATCCAAAACATTTAACTTAAATTTTACAAACACAAACATTTCTCAAAATTACATTTCAGTTATTTAAAATGTATTTTTTTTATTTTAATTCACCTGTTGCTGTGTTCACAAAAAACTATGGACATAATATTTTTTAAATGGTGAGCAGCAGAAACAAATGTATAGTTTATTCTGATGATTTCTTTAATCATTAACTGTATTATTTTTATTTTGTTTTACAATTATGCCTTGAATAAATAAGATCAATTTATGGTTTGAGTGAACATTAATATGATTTAATAACACTGGCTGTTGCTGGGGGGGGGGGGGGGGGGGGGGGGTCATGGCCACCCCTTGGAGGTGCCATTGCTGGCAGCCTGTGAAGATGGAGGAGAAACGGGGTGATGTGGGTGTACTTTGCTTCCATTAAACTCGTTCATTGGTAAGGACAGATTTTGCTAACATGTTGAGCATACTGAATGGTTGGTTGGCCACAGATCAGAAGGTGAGTGCCCCTTGGGCCACATCTTTAAGTATCCTTGGGCATGAAAGTTGCTCCCTGGGCGCTGAACAAGTGCAGGAATGAGTCAAATCTAGAGAAATAATCTCCCAAGGGGATCAATAAAGTATAAATAATAATTATGCTGTAGAAAGTGGAAAATGGCACCCCCCCAAGGTGCTTCACAACACATTCACACTGGTGGGGATGAGCTATGATGTCGCTACAGCTGCCCTGGGGTACACTGACAGAGGTGAGGCCTGTCATACACTGGCTCCATCGGTCCCTCTGGCCACCATCAGTTTCCTAACCAGGTTGTGAATTTATGAACGAGATGCATTTGGTGAAAACAGAAATTTGGAGTTTTGATCATCAGGCCCTTTTCTGATAAATTGTTACAATCTGCCCTGATGTTCATTGTGAAATCAATTAACTTTGCCTTATGGGACATTAAAGGTGCATGAAGAATTACATTTTGTGGTCAAATGTGGGTACTGCAGTCCATGTATCAAACAGAATGCTCTGAGCAGCCGTTGCCAGTTACGGATCTGCACCAGAAGAAGATTCTAGAGGAGTGAAGACAAGTCAAACACAGTAAGCTGATACGTAAACCAACATTTTTCACTGTAACATCCCGTTGTTGGTAATTGAAAAAAGTAGCTCAAGACTTTTTTGGAGCTGAATAATTGTTTCTAATTCCTCAATAACATTGTTAGCTCAACGTTAGCCTCTAGCCTACTGGATGGATTTTACATTCTATCTTCCAACAAGCCCAGAAGGTTCTGCAGCTCTGAACACATGATAACATATTGTCAACAAACTGTTCCCATTTCAAGGCCTAAGCTTCCCATGAGTAAAGGTAATATATTAAGCTTAAAGGGACTTTACAGAGTTTTGAATTTTTATGCTCGCGATTGCCCCCTCAGGCCAAAAGTGTAACGGCAGCTTCAATAGTAGACTCGTGCACGAGGCGCGCATGCTGTACGTGCACACTCCTTAACGAAAATAACAGCTGAGACAGTCCCATGTGTGTGTGTGACCCAGAAGACAGGAGAACCCGCAGCTAATTAATTAAATAATTTGGTTCTGTACCTTTCTCTTCAGCACAGCCGACAAAGGTTTAAGACGGGTCAGTCCTCCTGCATGCTCAGATCATTCCCTTCCCTTGCTTGAAAAATTGTTCCAAAATGAAAGTTGAACCCAAATCTTTTTAATCTGTGAATTCAATGGCGTTCGGCGAGTCTCAAAAAAAAAATTGGGCATCTTACTGTAAAAAAATATACCATTAATGTAAAAAAGAAACTCTAAATGAACTATGTTCACACCCAGATTCAAACCCAGGTTTTCTGCATGGGAGTCAGACATCTTACTGGGTGAGCTACACTCTAGTAACATTCACAGTATCTGTAACATTTATATCCTTGATGACAGCTGAAACAACGTCAAACCAAAGAACAGTTCGGAGTGAAAATGGCTATTTTGTTGCTAATTTGCAGGAAATATCTAGAAGAAAGTTCTACAGAAAGTAGCTAAGGGTCCTCAGAAATGTAGCTAGGTTCATCACTAGGCGTTAGGAACAGTGACAAAGTCGCCGAGTTGGCACTGCCTCCCTCTCTGCTGCTAAGCTACGGATAGCAAATGCTACGGGCTATGCCTGAGCATGAACGCGCATGAAGCAGCCTGCTCGACCCGAGCATCTCTCTTTTTCTGTGATTTTACAGAAAAACAGGCAATCACAGTAAAAATGCCAGGGCTCATTCTACAGGACCAGGGCATTGCAGGAGAATGTATGAAGACATTTATTATTTCTATACATGTTTTGGCTGTCAAACTTCCATAATGCCCCTTTAAAAGCAAGAATATTTAACCCTACAGGATGTTAGTTAAACCAAAAAACGTCAAGGCTTCTTCTGGGTACAAGGAATAACTTCTGGGTCCCTCCATTTACTGGCTGACTTTGTCCATAATGCTGCTGCTCTTTCCAGTGTTGAATTACAAATTACAAACCCTGCAGGCTCACGATTGGCTCTGGAACCAGGAACTATGTAGGCAGGACAGAACATAACCAGAGAGGGAGCATCCCTCTTCTGATTTTTAAAAGGAGAAAAACTAGTCAGCTGAGGAGATCGTTTTCAACGTAACCTTCCTTCAAACTTGCCTGGAACAGGAGATGCTTTGTGATTATTTCACTGTAGAATTCTTACTTATTGCCCCTAAAACTAAGGATTAGGCCAGGGGTGCCCACTCTTTTCTACCCAGTGAAACCATTGCCTAATTCTGGGATCATCAGATTGATCCTTCTAAAAGTAGCCATCTACCTCATACATCAGACCTGTTAATCTAATCTGATATTTTACTCTCAAGTCTCTGTAGCATTACTGATATCAGTAAAAGTGCTATTTTTGTTACCCATCTTCTGTCAATATCCTTGTTGTGATTTTAAAAATTAAACCCTTTGTCTAAAAATTGAACTTAAATACTAAAATTGACATTTAACATCACATTTCTATTGTCTTGTCCAACACAATATTTAATAAAAAGCATTATTTGGACAATTAACAGACATTTCAAAAATTCCATAAGAAAGATATTTTTATAAACTAAAACAACTGTAACATCTGTAAAACAATAAATGTGACACAGGATAAAAGAAGTGTTTAGAGTTGTGTAACATTAAAGTCTTCTCATAGGTTCTCCCTCGTAGCTGCAGACTCATTATCTCATAGCACCATGATGAACGTAGCCCTCGCTCCACAGTGAGGACCACAAGGATGAGAGCTTATAGAATAACTCCTGCTCTTACAGCAGATTCAAGCGTTGATGCTTACTGCAGCTCAGTGCAGTAAACAACAGTTAAAACCTGGTGGTTAAGTACACAACAACCACTGTCCCTGATTTCGCATGTTAAAAAGACTGCTGTGTAGACAAGCGCACATGTTCAGAAGAGCATAAAATAAAGAATAAAATGTGCAGAAAAGAGTCTGCTAAGCTTCTACTTGTGTTTGTTTTTCACTCAGACGCCATTAATAAGAGCAAATATCTAAAACCTAACTAAGCGAGGTCTGAGGACTGACTTCCTGGATTATGTCCTCACACGCTGCCATCTTTTGGTCTATCACTAATGTTTGGAATCTGATCAGCAAACGACTGGGTCATCCACTGTCCGTCTGGGAGCTGGCCCTCTGATTGGGATGTACTCGCCTCCTTCGCTTCTTCTGAGGATGGAAACAAAAAAGCATAGACGATTTTTAATAACACAGTAAAAAACGTGCTGCTCGGGTCCAGCGATGAGTTGTTCTGGTGCACCGATAAGGTTAGACCAGCGCGTTAGCCTCCACAATCTACTTTAGTAACATTAATGAGGTTTGTCTACATGAAGCTACACTTACAACAAACCATTAAGTAAAACCTCGTACAGCTAAAGTTGTGGAGGAAACAAAACGTATGCCGATATTTCGACAGGTTTGTTGAACTGGTTTAAAATCTAAGCTCAGAGTTTTCTGTGGCAGCTTTTTGTGCAGACTCCTGCAGAGCCGAGCGATTTCACGCTTAAATTAAAACTTCACCAGTGAAGTCAGTTTCAGGATCTTTGCAGCACAACATCCTTGTTCCTATCGTAGCAGCGACCTCAGATAAATCAAGAGGAGGATAATCTAGTCCAGCCAACAATAATCTAAACACAGATGTATGACGACGTTTCTCTATCAGCAGGTTAGAAAAGTTCCTCAAATGAAGAAACCTTCACATGTGCCTAGAAGTGACCATGAGGTAACTTGAGTAAGCATTTCCATGAACACTGAGCTGGTGTAGATCACCTGACGTGTGAGCGTTGAGCTGATGGTTGGTTACCTGCGTTTCCAGCAGATGAGAACGTACAATGACCATTAATGTGACTTCCAGCTTGGCCTTCGTCAGGACCGTTCTCCACGTAGGCTCCTCCATAAGCGTCTTCATAACCAGGATCATACTGCTCCTCCTTTATGGCTAACCTCTTAGCATCCTCTGTGGATGTGAAACAGGGAGAATGACAGATGAGGTCTAGCTATACACCTCATCGACCCTGACGTAGATGTGGGTTACTGCTCACCCTTAGCTAGCTTAAGGTCAAAGCTGTAGTCCACTTCCTGGATCTCAGCACTTCTCTTTTCTCCCTTCAGCTGATCTCTGAGCTCCCTCAACTTGATGTAGAAGTGAACTTTATCCTGAGCACGAGGAAACTGGGCACAACGAGCGCTGGATGAAGGCATCAAATACAGCGCCTGAATACAAAAAAGTTTTGTTATTTCACTTTTCACAGGTTTCCACACACATCTCGCTTAAAATAGGTTGAATATGACCAAAAAGCAGATATTTAAAGTGGGAAACTGTACTATCAGGGTGCCATTAAGAAGCTGGTGTCTGTGAAACATGTGGGACTGAAGGTCTTACCACATCACAGTCAGGGATCTTGTGCGGCTGCAAACCAAATTCAAGTTTTTGTGGTTTTTTTCCAAACAGCTCTCTGCAGAACATTTCATAGATACCTAAAAGTGGAGAAAAGCTCCATGTCATTAACTCAGACTAACAACCTTGTTCCATCGGTTGCTCCAATAATAGAAAATATCTTACATTTTCCATTGAACACAGCAATTAGTGGTTTGTATTTCATCAACTTCTCCACAAGAATCTTGCCTCCTTCGCGTAACTCTTTACTAGAAACGAAAAAACGAACATTCACAAAACATGTGACAGTCGGTAAGGCTCCTGTTCTTCGGTCTGCAGGACTCGCCCACCTTGAGAGGTCTTTGCTTCCAGGTGTCGCCCTTGCTACCATGTTTGTGAAGCCCATTTTGTACTTGACGGGCAGTGTTGTGTCGTGCATGTGGTTGAGCTGCTCCTCTGTGAATCCAGACAGATACAGGCATTTCCCTGGAATCAAACCATTCCTAGGTTATTCAAACTGGTAAAAGCTTACAGTAAGAGAATCCTGCTCCGCCTTCATTTATAGATGAGACAAACTGAGACGGACATCAATCCTTCCTGCCGTAGTTCAACCAAAGCAGAAACAAATACAGCTCTGATGAGTGCCTTCATTTGCCAGAGATTCAAACACCTGGTGCAGTTCGTGTTAGCCCATCGTTTCCCTTTGAAACATTTAAAAACGTGAACTCAGAACTTACAAAAGTGATTTCCAGGACCAGGAAACCAGCGACCAATGAAAGCTGCCATCAGCCCCGGATTAATTCCAATCTGAAAATGCACGCACACACACACACACGCACTGTAATATCATGCAAGCAATATGCCAGGATTTCTGCTAGCCCACCCCCTGTCTCGTAGAGCCCCATGTCATTTGAATGAGTCCCACTCAGCATTAGCTAATAGCGTTAGCACAGATCAACAGATCAAAGACTGAGCACGAGCGCTTCCAGAAGTACCTAGACCAGGGGTCTTCAGTTCCAGGCCTGGAGGTCTGGTATCCAGCACGTTTTTAGTTTCAACACACCTGATTTCAAACAGCAGCTGATTAACAGGCTTCTGCAGAGCCTGATGAGCTGCTGCCCAGGTGATCCAACCACTGAATCAAGTGTGTTGGAGCAGAGAAACAACTAAAATGATCTGGATACCAGCCCTCCAGGACCAGATTTGAATACCCCTGACCTAGACTGTTAGTGAAAATCCTTATGGACAAGTCATTAAAAAATATATATACATATATACACATATCTATCTGTATGTCTAAATAGATATAAAACTATATACACACACACAACATTACTAACTGTAAAACGATGCGCTTTAGCGCTGTTGGCTGGCTAGAGGTGTGTGCTCATAAACAAGACATTGCTTCCTGTCATAACCACAGAAGTAGGAAGAGGGGCTTGAGGTGTAATTTGTTTTTTCCACCCCTAGATGGTGCCCTCCGAGATAAAACATCTGGATGTCTGCCTTAAGCAAACACAATCATATCCACTCCTAGAGTGTTCTAGTGGTTAATTGTTCAGAAGCACAATGCTTCTGAACAATTGTCTGACTGTGTCATCTTACAATGACATAGTCGAGGTTGTAGTCCAGCAGGTCTGGTAAAGTCTTTGTCATGACTTCCTCCTCTGTCATTCCTTTGAAGCGGTCCACTTTCCTTTTGACCTTCTTGAAGCTCTCATCAATCTTCTCCTGTTTGCCATCACCCTGAGCTTCAGCAGCTTTTTTGGGCTTTGGGCCCGGTTTGGCTTTAGGGGCATTTGGGTCCTTGGGTGGTTTTGGTGCCTTGGGAGCTTTTGGTGGTTTGGGTTCCTTGGGAGCTCTTGGTGGTTTGGGTTCCTTAGGTTGTGCTGCTCTACCTCTCTTTTTGGCTGGAGCTATAAAAAAAAGAAAAAAAGTAAATTATAGAAAACCTTCTGGAGCTCATTTGTAAAATGTTACCATCCCTTCAAACTTAAACTATTCACTTAAGACTTTCATAAATCAAAATACGTTAATACTCTGCTAGATTTAAGTTCAGACTAAACTGCTCCATTGTGATTAAACTTTACAACCCAGGTGTCACTATGCAGAACTACAGTGGTAATTAAGGCCCAACTCTGAATCAACACCTGATGTTTTAACCAAAAAGCATCACAGTACGTTTAGTCAAGTTGGTGGGTTCCAGCTGATCCATGGTGGGTTCTGGGTTAGCCGTGTGAGCCATGTCTGTCTCTCCAGTCTGATTCTCTGGGTAGTGAAATTGGTGTTTGGGGTTGAGGTTTGCGTATTGAGTCTGAAGAGCTTGAAACTGCTGGGCAGACCGAACCCTGTGGCAGAACCATAATCATAATAAAATGCTGAGTTGATCACTAACATCATTGTCATCATCATGTGTGGTTTGTTATTACTACGAGAATGACGGTGGAAACATAAATAAAAAAAAAAAACAAATAGATGCAAATGCTTAATGTAATTTTGAGGTTCGCTCTAAAACACCAGCCACGTGATGAGGAGGAAGACTCACCACTGATGAAGATACTCCGGGGAGACAACAGGCAGTGATCCATTCAGCTTTTCTTCCATCTTTTGGGTGCTTTGCATCATCAAATAAAAACATGCATGAAGAAACATAACTGGTTGTTTTATGTGTGACTTTGATCTTAGATTTTGAGATGAATGTATATGTTGGCGTTTATATAACCAAACTAAAGATAAGTTCAAACCAAAGACAAACACAAAACAGGCCATAATAGTAAACAGTTACATGTTGATGACGCATAGTAGACAAATGACTTTCTATAGATACATTTTATTAGACTGTCATGAATGAATTACATTCACCCTCTGAGTTTATCACGTTCCTCATTCATGATAAAGCTAATCCAGTTGCGATCAGCTATGAAACTACAAAAAGTCACGTTTAAACACGAGTTTGTGACTAAATATTTCTTCATGGATGAATAGCAGCGAATAAGCTACTCGGAGTAGCGCCACAAACACAGCTAATGTTAGCCAGCAACTAGCTTAGCATGGCTGAATGGTTTCCTTTCATTACGACTGCCCCCCATTAAATAATTCTACACAATTTATCACAGTTCATGAACGCTAACATACCTGTTAAGTGCGAGGCTTAAATTAATTTCTTCTCTGTTGATATGTGTTGTTTTCCCATCTACTCCACACTTCTATTCACAAGACTTATGACGATACAGAGGCAAACAAAGACATGACAACCGAGCCGGTCAACTTTGACACCGGAAGATCACAAAACATTGGGGGGGGGGGGGGGGGGGGTCTTCGACATCGTGATCTTTTCAAAAATGTCAACTCTGCTGTTCTTAATTAAAAATTAGGAATATTTATTTTCTGTTAACAAATCTGTTATTCTGTTTGTAACTAACAACAGAACTAAATATTACATTACTGAGCAAAGCGACTGCACCCCTACAGATGATAATGGTATGAGCCGTTAGGTTTTTAAACCACAGATGTCATATATAGCTAGATCTGTTAAGTTTAGCATCTTGCAGAACAGGATAACTGCTGGCCCAACTGTTCGGGACAGAGGAACAAACAACACACACTGCGGTCTGGTTGCAGTTCAGTAGAGGCACACGTGACACAAGCGTCACGCACTGTGCTTCCTTTTATTGCCACATAATT